AGACAGTTCCACTACTTTCCCTATGCATGATCTTGAGTCAACTCAGCAATTGGTGAAGACTTTAGGAGATTTACAACCCACAGAAGCTACATTCACTCTAAATTTGGACTATTTGTCATCAGTAGAAAAACTCATACCATCAGAAACAAGACCCAAGGTGGTATCATCTAGTATTGAATACAGTATTGAGACAGAACTTCTGCCTACCAAGTCACCTGGCACAACCAGCATACATGCAATTTACACATCACAAAATCTGCCAAAAATATCCTCTTATGTCAAAATGCAGTTTACAGAAACATACTCAAAACTTCCTTCCTCGATTTCTTTGGAAACACCATTGTCACATCTGCCAGCATCACTTTTGTCCATGCCAACAACTCTGGAGGACAGTTTGATGGATGAATCATTTTTCCCATCTGAAATATTTTCTTTTGGAGTCTCTCTCTTCTGCTGATCAACCTCAAACACTGCAGGTCCCTGGACAAACCAATATATTGCAAAGTCGCCCAATAAAACCATCTATGACTGGGTTACCATCAAGACACCTGCAACTAAAAGTCCAATCTACAGAATCTCTTCTACCTCTTACCACACAGCTGTCACTTCTTTCACCAGAAATATTTTCACTGTCAGACCCTCTGGAAACATCTCCAGTGTACCTCACAACAACTCTGACAGGCACCACCCGCAGACAAACTTTTGATACTGTGTCATTTCAACTGGTATCAGATTTACCTCAGACACTCAAATTGTTGGAGACAGAACTGTCAATCTTGGAAAGAACACATTCTCCAGCTGTCCTCACAGGAGCAACAAGTGCCATTTCGTCTGATTTCCTACAGGTGCCATCATCAGACATTGAAATAACAGCCACTTTCTTGCCAGCAATGGTAACCTCTACATTGTTGCTACCTCCTCTGAGATCCCAGACTAGTCACTCAATGACAACACATCAACATAGTTCATCTCCAATATCTTCATTGCCAGTCCGTCTGTCATCATCTAAGCTTGCATCAGTGTCTGTTCATGTGCCACCCTCTCCCCTTGCATCTTTGTTGTCTGTAAAGCTGTCTGCTAGCTCTGTACCGCAGCCTGTGTTGTCTGTAGCGCCTCTATCAGCTGAAACTTCTGCTTCTTTCCCAACTGGACCATCTCTGCGTGTGTCGTCTCCCTCGAGCTTGTCTCAGCTGGAACTCCTGCCATCCTTATCCCTGCAAGTAAGTGTCTCGCTGTGTTTCTGTCATCTTGCACCTCATATTTCACACAAGACATAAACATCCTACACAACTGTACTAAAGTGTGTTGCTTTTAATTTTACAGGTGACTAAATTTGTTGATTTTTAAATCATTGCAGGTGTTTGAGCCCGTGTCCTTGCAAACATTGGACATCAGCACGTCATATGCATTTTCTGACTCAAGTCTGGCTCCTGACATGACATCCCAGGTCATCAGTTCACCATCAGTAACCCTGGAACCAAGTGGATCTTCAACAACCTCTGTACCTGTTCAGTTCTCACCAACTCTCCAGTCCAGCAGCTTAAGTTCTATTTCCATGAGTAGTGATGACTTTGAGGGGTCAGGGTCTGATCTCCCCTTTCTCTCACAAACACTCCCAATGTTGACCCAAACAGCATCAGCAACATCATTACAACTGAGCCCGTCATACAGTGTTGACTCTTTCAGTTCAACTGGACCATCTTCAATTATTTCGGCATCTTTCCTGCAGCCATCGTACAGTCCCGATCAGGCAACAACTTCCCTCACCCCTACAACTGCAGACACCCTGGGATCATCAGTCTCCCCTGCCACTGCAACCCAAGGTGTTGCCATGACAATGTCCTTGCAGCCTAGCCCTAGTCAATCGTACATCGTTGATTCATTCAGCCCTTCTGGATCATCACAGCCACTCAGTTTGACACCATCATATACTCCTGATCTTGCTTCATTTTCATTGCCATTGCTATCGACAATGTCCCTACCAGTTCAGGAGTCGTCATCAATATTTGATGGGTCAGGAGATGGACCAGTAACAGACTTGATCTTCAGCTCATCACCTAGTGTACTGATGTCAAGCCAGACACCTTCCCCTTCCATCAGCTTGGACTTTGTCACCTCATCTACACCGCTGGGTACAACTATTCAGCCCACAGCAAGTGTATCAGCACCAACAACTGTCCAGCCTTCAGTTAGTCTGTCAGTGCAAAGTGATTCATCAGTCATGACCAGCTTCACACTGGATGCTCTATCCATGTTTTCCTCCATTGAACCAACACAAACACCAGAAGGGTCAGGTGACATGGACACATCACAATTCCTCCAGCTGGAATCAACGCCCAGCATTTCCCTCAGTTCCATACCAGTGACAGTTTCCAGCATTTTCCCAATGCCAAGCTTCAGCATGGATTTCCCTACTTCTACAAACTTTTTTGAATCAACACAGTTTGAGGGTTCTGGGATGTCTATTTCTGAAGCTTTCTCAGAAACCATGTCATTTACAGTTGCTACAAGTTTTGAGTCCATGACTTCAACACCAACGATACCACCAGTGATGAGTTCTTCATCTCAAGTTGGAACTCCCACATCGGTACCATCTCCTTCACTACAAGAGACAGTCACACCATCTTCATCTGTGGAAGAATTTTCCTTACCTCCCTTCACAGCAATGTCCAGTATGTTCCTAGAGTCCACATCCCTTGTACTTCTACCTTCACCAAGTTTGACAGTAGACCTGCTACCCTCCATGAGTACTAAAGCAGTCAGCAGCTCAGTAGAGTCTGTTCTCGTCAGCTCCACTGCTGGGGTGATGTCATCTGTCTCTAGTTCAGTGTCACAGCAAAGCATGATGGGAGTCTCGTCCAGTTCAGTCCAACCAACGTCGTCAATCACAGCATCCCAATCGGTGACCCCTACACCAATTCTACCGACTACTTCACTGGTCTCAGCTTCACCCTTGGAGTCATCAGGAAGTGCTGTCACCAGTTCTGCTGTACCAACAGCGTCACTGTCCTCATCATTGCTGTCGTCCACTGCAGTCTTGCCGTCATTTCCGCAGATCCCAAGTCTGCTACCATCCACAGCTCTTGTGATCTCTTCAGCAGGAGTGGTCAGCTCAGTAGCAATCGTGCCATCTTTGACACTGATCCCAAGTATGGTAGCACCATCATCCACAGCAGTGGTGGTCAGCTCATCAGCAGTAGTGGTGGTCAGCTCATCAGCAGTTGTTACAACACAAGTCCCAACCACTCAGGCACCAACAACACAGGCACCAACAACACAAGAACCAACAACACAACCTCCAACAACACAGGCACCAACAACACAACCTCCAACAACACAGGCTGCAACAACGCCATCTCCAACAACCAGAGGCCCTGCAGCTACAACATTCAACTATGTCACAGCTAATCTATCTGTGGAACTGGTGTCAAACTGGGTCATTACAGGTAAATGTAACATACTGTAATACAAGTCGAATCATAATCAATGACATGACATAGAATAGACTAGGATTTGTACATTCAATTTTGTACTATGATGTTTTCCCTCTAATAGTACACAGCTTGAGCATAATCATTACAGTAACTGCGTTATCAATATACATTGTACCATTCTGTTATACTTTTTCTTTAAAATTGATCAGATGTTCTTTTTGATAATCAATCTCTTGATCTCTCTGCACAGTCCTCGTTATCCCAGACGCCATTATCATCACATCGGAGCAGTTCTACTTCACCATGGAGATTAATCTGGCACGGGCCTTTGCTAGGGCAAGGCAGCGAAAGGCTGGGATGGATGTAGCACAGAACCCTATCCTCAGGAGAAAACGAGCAGCAACATTTGAAAATGTCACTTGTCAGGTCAGTGACAATGACACATTTATTCTTCTGCTTCTTTAGATTTCTTAACTGTGTGAGTTGAAATACTTCAAAAAAATGTCCCTCACAAACCATGACTGAATGCTTCGTGACTGATTCACTTATTCTTCGTCTTCCTTGTGCCTGCAGGTGATAAATGCCACACGAGACAACTCCACAGGCAGAAATGACCGTGTTTGGCTGACATACTATGTGATGTACGACGGTAAGGCAGTCCCTGCGTCTCAGGCCGTGGCAGACTTGGCACTGCTAGATGAGCAGGAGCTGGCCCTGCAGCTGGGGTATTTCGTCGCTCAAACTGAAGGTAATAAAGACACAAATAGCAGTTGTACTTGTATCCCTTACTAGTTTGGATATTTTTCACCATTTCTGGTGAATACTAGTAAAACATCAAATTTATGATTGATTGTGTTGTTGATGATGAGATGATGACAAGACTTTAACATCTCTCCTGCAGAATATGAGCCCGTTGCTGCCCCATCTGAACCCCCGTACTGGATCATAGCGGCTGTGCTGGGGCCCTTGTTCATCATCATCATCATCGTCATCTGGCTGGTGTGCTGCTGTAAACGCACCAAGCGTACGGAGATGGCGCCGGACACAGTCGGGGAGCTGCAAAAGAAGGGGACACCACGGGTAGGTGTCATCTAGATATGACAAAGGAGACATCATCTCATTTTAAGAGTACCGATAGAAAAGAAGCAGATCCAGACTGAGTGAAGAAAATATTGTAAAACAGCTCCTTTTCAATTCTTTCATAAAGAGTGTGGGTTTTTCCATTGATCAGATTTAACTTATGCCCTTTTCTTTAATTTCTCAACAAGGTAGTCATTTGTTGTATCCTACATTCACTTGACTACATTTGAAGCCTTCAAGCCTATGGTACGCCTGCTTTCCTGACAGGTGTAGGTAATGGCCAGTGTAGATAGTAACATGAGTCTTTCTCTGCAGGGTGTTGCCCCAGCTGAGATGCAGAAGAAGGTGATGACAGACACCCTCATCCCTCCCGGCTCCTATGTGGTGAAGGTACCAGAAGAGTCGCGTGATGCCCCGCCCCTCCCCGCACGCCGCGGACGGCCCGCTCCTCAGCCCAGACGGTCTGCTAAGACTAAAGACAGACGACAGAAGTCCTCCAAGCGTAGATCAAAAAGGTTTGGATGGTGCTAATGTATACTTTGGAGAAAGTTTAAATATCGATGATTGTATTTTATGTCTTCAGCAATCTTGCTTGGAGATATGGAGTTCAATTCTATTGTTAATTGTGAAAAATGTCAAAACAATACCCTTTGTGGTATCTTAATGATTTACTGTAGCATAGCTACTAAGACAGTTTCCTGCTACTCATGAAAATGAAATCCTTTTGAAATGTCTTGTGCTGTAGAAGATCAACAGAAGAATCCGAGGACAGTTCCTTCACAAGTGTGACAGAACAGAGCAGCAAGCCCAGGTCCAAGAGAGCTCCAGAGTCCATGTTGGAATCTGACACTGGGGGTATGTCAACACCTCAGGCCTCTTTTTCTCTTTTAAGCTGTAACCCTCAAGCTTTCCATACTGTATGGCACCTTTTAAGTTCCAGGTTGAATATTTAATCTAGAAATTCAGCAAGTATATTGAAAGTGTGGCTGAAGTTGATGACTGGATTTTTTACATTTGCAAGCCAAAAAAAAAAATTGTAGCCTGCATGTGCACATATTAGCCAATTGGATAGCACCCAGGCTAGATGACTGATCCTTGTATGATTAATGTTTGCATGGAAGAGTTGTTATAATCTATGACTGACCTTAAACATTACATTTCCTGACATCTGGGTAATGAGTGCCTTTGATCCCTTTGTACAGATGACTTCCCGTCAGACGCAGGCTCCAAGGCAGGGTTGTTTGAGCACGTGGCCAAACTCTCGGCCGTGATTGAGCCGACGCCCCAGAAGCCGGCGTCGCGTGCCTTCCACTCCTCTGTCCACCCCATCAAGTTCCCGCCTCTTCGCACGCCCCTCGTCACCGACAGGCTCAGGGAGTCCATCAAGGAAAACCAACAGGTCTGCTCACAGTCTGGATTGCTTTGAGAGTGGCAGTGTCACTAATGTGTTCTCAGGAGTTATTCTGTGGTATCATGTCTATTGGATCCTTCAAAATTCTAATGAAACTAGAAAGGCCAATATTTGCTTTGGAGCAAATACAGCGATGGGTTCACCACATTTTACGACATGGCAGGGAAAGAATGAGAAACACAAGGGAAAACAATGATTTACATTGATATAACTATAATATGAAGTAACATACAACTAAAACAACAGTTGGATAGCTATTCCCTACTTTATTGGTTAGGATTTTTAATTGCATAATGCAAACTGTTGATTTTCAAAATTAAAAAAAACGTTCATGCCCCGCATTCCAATGCTGGAGCAGAAAAGCTTGAAATACCTACCAAAACACTTGAATAAAGACATACTGTCAGTATGAAAATGCTCTGTGCAGGTGTTATTAACAATCACATAAACTATGAAGCCATACATTGAATAAGCTATACATATAATATGATTATCATAACCTTTATTTTTAAAATCATGCCAGTGAGCTAATTGCATGTACAGAGTGAAAGAAAGTAAAGTAAAGTAAAGCAGTAGAATTTCTGTACTTAGTCTAGCTATGATAGTACTTCATATGATTCGTCCTCACCGTCATCATTCAATGTGGTCTATCTCTTGCTACTAGTGACTGGTAATACCTCTGTAGATTCTTCACACTGGCAGAGTACCGTACTCCTTCTCTCTTGTCAGCTCAATACTTTTGTGACAACATCAAAGTGATTTTAGTTTGTATGTTGGAAAAATACAAAAGACTAACATTCTAAGTTATTGACATTCTTGAGTAAGAACAATCAGTTTTTGAATGTTAAAAGCAAAACAACGAAAATAAAAAAATAGTTGAAATTGTTAAAATGCAGAATTGTTAAAATTGTTAAAACTGATAAAATTGTTAAAAATGATAAAATTGTTAAAAATGTTAAATTGCTAAAAATATTAATGTCCGATGCACTGGGGTTCGAACTTGCAATGCCTGGGATTGCCGCCTTGCGCGTTTCCAACCGAGCTAACATGTTCGTGGAGGGCTAATTAATCTCTCGTGAAATACACACCGGGACGCTTATGTGAGGCGGGCGGGCCAGAGCTCTTGCGGCCCCGACCACGAATCAGACTGGATACCAGGCTATAACAGAACCTAGATAATACTAGTTGGTAAAGATTGCGGAAAATTGTTGATACCGTGGCGCGCGCGCCGCCGCGTAACTTTTTTGTTTACACGCCGGGCGCAGGTCATTGACCTCCAACTTGCGTTGTTCCAACAGAGAAGAGCAAAATGTCTGGCTCCCGCAGAACGTACCGCACTCTCCCGCTGGACGTACCGCACTCTCCCGCAGAACGTATCGCACTCTCCCGGAGGACGTCCCGCACTCTCCCGAGGGAAGTCCCGCACAGCGTCCGGCACTCTCCCGCAGAACGTCCCTCGAAAATCGATGCGTATTTCGTGGCCTGTGCTGTACCTACCAAAACACTTGAGTTCATACTGTCAAAATGGAATGGCTTTGAACAGCTGTTAATTGAGTTAATCCAATCAAATCCAACAGCCAATCAGCAAGAAGAATAGATTGGTCTGGTTCATGCTTGCATGCCCATATATGGGCATACCGCCGAATTCCTTTCTTATTACGTCACGCGCGTACGTCCCCACAGTGCTTTCCTATGGGGACCGCTAAAAAAGCAAATAAAACGATTGTAAAAGCTTGTATCACAAAAATTTAAAAAACGCCTAGGGGTATTTGCCCACTGTACCTCCATACCAAATTTCAGGACCTTAGGCCCTAAAATGAAGAAGCTGAATCCATTTAAAGATATGGCAGGAGGAGGAGGAGGAGGAGGAGGAGGAGGAGAAGAAACATCAGAAAAAGCAATATGGGTTCACCACCACTTCGTGGTGTGGTGAACCCATAATAAACTTGATACAGATTACTTAAGTAAATCTTTCCTCATAATGTGCTATTCGACATAATGGTTATATGAAAACTGGGTAGCACTGTTTCATACTGCATTACGTGTTCTAATGTATAGTCTCTGCACACACCCCTCCAGCTGTCCCAGTCCATGCGACAGAAGGCAGACATCGAACACTGGCGCAACAAACAGCTGCAGAGGGAACGGTCCCTGCGCAGGAAGCCGACCTCGCCGAGGGGAGGGTACGAACACACAGCAGTGGGGGATACCAAGGACCAGCGCCGTGCTTACAGGAGGGCTCAGCAGCAGATAGACTCAGTCCTGGAACCAAGCAGCCACATACCTGCAGTACTGGAGCCACCCAGAAGGTGGGGCTCACACCAAGTTGGTGTGCATGTAGGCTTTAGTATCAAGGACATCATAATGTCCTTCATATTTCCCCCCTCAGTGATACCCCGTTTAGGGGTGGTTTGAGGGTAAAAAAGAAGAAGAACAAGTATCATCTAGCTGAGTTGTTTGGGCATATTTGCTGGAAATCTACTTTCTCATCATTATATTTGTGACTTATGCTACATGCATTTTTGTAGTTAGTTATGAAAACTCTGGCTTGAAAATGCATGTCTAGTTTCTTTGTCTATGTTAGCAGCAGACACCGACAGAACATATCACATTTGTGTTTATCAGGAGGAGGATGAAGCGGCCCCACAAGAGGCATGGCAGCCATGACATCCAGGGGGTGACCTCGCCACATGACCCTGAGCTGGCCATGCAGTTTGGGCAGCAGCCACAAGGGGTCTACAGGCCCATGAACGGTGTCCCACCACTGGGGCCGCAGCCACTAATGCCTGTGAGTTGTTCAATATTTACAGTAACTAGTATAATAAACATAATGGCTAATGCTGCTGTTCGTACTTTAGAGGCAGAGAACAATCCATGTATTAGTAACTTACCCAATGTGCCCATCATAGCCAAGACTAGCAACAAAGTCTTGAGTCATGATGAGTGTATGACTTTTACTAAGTTTATTAGAAAGGCATGGTCCTAACATCTCACATCAGCAAGTCCTCAGATGTAAACGTCTGTATAAAATGTCCTTCCAGGGTGATTCAGAAGGGCGGTCAGTGGAGGACGAGTCCTACACTGAGAGTGACCCTGAGACCATGCCGATCAGTCAGGCACGTGAGCGGATCCACCAGCTCCTGGACGAGGCCTTCTCGCTCATCTCGCCCAGCGTTCCGCCTCGCAACACTGTGGCCCCCGCTCCCAACGTCACGACGGTGCAGCCTGTCCAGAGCACGCCACAGTACACACAGCCTGCTGGGAACGGGCAGGTTCCCAATGGGATGGGCGGAGTTCCCCCTGCTTACATGACAGTAAGTACAAGCCAAAATTTCACTTAATACTTTAATCTTTAAAACTTTACATGTTTAAGATCAAAAGAAATTCCCTGTACTCATGAGTTCTGTACTTTTTTACCCAGCCTCAGGCAGCCTACCCCCAGGACCTGCGCACCCCCCAGGGCCCTGTGCCGCCCCCCGCTCATGGCCGAGCCTCCACCGCCGGCCCGCGGGCGCGCAGGAGATTCAACGGGCAGTCAGCCTCCAGCTCTGACAGGTGGGTGGGGTGACACTGTTTACTTACAATGTACACATTCAAAATACAACAAAACGCATGTAACATTGGTTCATTGGGATGTAGTCTGTTATACAGTTATTGTATTGAATGTTCTCCTGAGAGGTGTCATCCCTGACATGAGCAGTTATTCCCATTCCAGGGAGCCAGCGGGTGAGCAGCCCCTGTTCACCAGACAGCCCACTGTGGTGTTTAGTCCTGACCAGTACCAGCAGGCAGCAGCAGGGAGGGCGCCGGCACCCGACCCACGGGGTGAGTACACATTCTGTTGGCTAAAGGGTTACCTGGTCTTACTAGTAATCTGACTGTGTTGATATTTGGTGCAGCATGAGTACATGTAACTCCGTTCATTCAAAATGTACTGCTTATCAGAAGTAATAGGAGTAGTAGTAAGACATATTTGATTATCTTCTTTGTAGGAAATTTTGGAAATTTTATTGTAGCTAGAAGATACGATAAGAAGTAGCAGAGTTTAAATTCTTCATGTGGTTGGATTTCCTTGTTTGACTCAATTTGGTACTTAATTACCAAAATAAGTGAAACCATATAACATTACATTTTGTACTAACTTGCAGCACCATTTATTTCCCTCCCCTCAGCACGAACCTCCCAGGCTGCCCCTGCCAGTGTAAACATGGGCACCCCGCAGCAGCCCCTGTTTGTGACCCCCGTGCAGCAGAAGCCGGATGGGTCAGGTGGTGTCCTGTGGAGTCTGTACAACGCTGAGGACGAGGTGGCCAAAATGTCACAATCCAGAGAACCGGTAAGTCTCCAGACTGATGTGATACTTAGTAGTAACTTAGATATGGGCTTTTATGATAAGATATTTATTGAAAATGTGAACCTGTAAGTTTTATTTAAAAGGAAGTTTAAAAAAACAGTGACTGCATCTTATATTTGGACACTGACTCACAAGAAAGGTGCAAAATAGTCATTTCAACATCTTCAAATAAAACTGGACCAAAGAAGATGTAACATTGATATAGTAACATTACGGTTTTTAATATGGTACTGTAAGTGCTGTTTTTTATTATGTATTGTGGCCACACCTATTCAATGGTGTGTTTCAACAGAGCAATGTGGTCTTCAATAAGATTTGAAGAAAAAAAAATGAAAGACAGTTTTACTTAGTACTTGGCAGTCATTCATCCATAACATTGATCTATGTCCAAGTGCACTTTCTGACCAGCATTGTTGGTATTCACTCTCTTGTCGCAGACACCCCTCTCCCCAGATGATATTGGTCCATTAGAGTTCAGGTTACGCAATACGGTAGGCAGTCATGAATGGTCCCTCATTGTACAACTGGTGAAAGATGCACACAAAAACAACACTGTTCATTTACAGTGTTTCATCAAATATGATGGTGTTATAACTGTGAAATGGTTTGGGTACCTCATATAATATATCTATCAGGGTTATACCTTTTTTGTTGTCACAGAAGTATTAATACCTGGTCCACTATTCCACTATATTAACAGCAAAAAAATTCAATAACATTAACACGATTTACAGGTGGTGCATGAAAGGTATTGAGTATCCAATGTTAACATACTACACTGGTAAAGTCACACACAGTGTCATATATGAATGATATCAACTCAAAGTCTTTAACTAACACAATTTTCCCCACTCTAGCTAAGAAACATCACAATACACAACTAAAATCAGTTTCACTGACCTGAAGTTTCAAGGTATTTCAATCATTGTGTACAAATACAGGATGTTTAAAATGTTTCTTTCTCCCTACAGGCAAGTCTCCCTGGCGGCCTGGATGCCTCCCCCCTCCTCTCCCGTCTCCAGTCCACCCCCATGACCCGTACATCCTCCCTCCCCAGTGTCACCCCTCCCCACCTCACCCCCTCCCAGACAACCACCTTCCCTGCACTCTCTCCAATTGGCCAATCAGGATATGGCAGTCCCTTCATCGGCCAACCAGGAACCAGCCCTGGCAGCCATCCAGGCATGAGAACTCCTGGCCAATCAGCATTCACTCCGGTGAGAAGTTCACCAGGGTCTGACCAATCAGGTGCAGGGTCCAACCCTCCCAGCCAATTAGATGACAGCAGGTTGAGACCGGGACAGGATCCTGATGCAGATGAGGTTGACATCATGAGTGGCCTCCGTACAGGGGATTCTGCACAACCACTCATACAGGCCATCAAGGATGAACTAAAAAGACTTTCTGGGAAAACACCTGTAACAACTTTGTAACTCACAAGTTACATTCATAAAGAAGTGTTTAGTGCTGGCCACAATGATGAAAAGTTTTGTAGAATTAAAATTCATGAAGTATGTAATGATAACTATAATCTTGTATTTTGTACAGATTTAAAGGACGTAAAATATTTCATTTTTCAGATTGTATTATGTCACCACTGTTTGTGGTCTGTTTGAGAAAGTTTAAACAGTCTGTAACTTTTTGTGCTCATCATATGATAGCTCTGAGGTAGACAGAATGACAGTGAGTAAAGGATGTCATTGAATCTTTATGTACTATTAAGAATTACATCTTACAGGTAACTTGTATGGTTTGAATTATAGACCAGTACTGTCAGCTTGTAACATGATTCTTTGCATCCCTGTGAGTTTATTTTAATTAAACGTATTTGTAAATTATCATAGAAACCATGCATAATTATATGTATACCTCCAGATTATATGACAAAAGAATTATTTTAAAACCTTGTGTTAAGGAGTAATTTTGAAGTGGATTCAGTGAAGAAAAAGACAAACTATCAGTGTTGCCACACACTATACTACTTTTATGGTATATTAGATACACGTCTGCACGTAAAGTTAACCATTTTAACCTGATACAGTTTGTATTTGAATGTAAAATCTGACATTGACAGTATTGGAATGCTTACAGTTGTAGTAGGATGTCATGCACTCAAGTGTTTTTTAAAGTGCCTGTTTGACAACTGTGAGACACCCTCATAATACTTAGTACCAGAAATGTCATATGGCTGATGGAATTACATATGTATGTTCAGTTGCGCCTGTTGTCAAACTCTCATATATTTATGGTATCTATTATATTAGACAAGACTTCTCCTCTCTAGTGCCTCTGATTAGCACTATGTGGTACTTAATGTAGCGTTATATGCTACCAGTGGACCAAGTGATGTGTGTTGTATGAGTATGTGTATGCTTGCTATCTGTAGAATGCCTTGCTTGCTGCTTTTACAAGTGAGATAGTGATATATCCATATTGTTCCATCAGGAATATTTTCTGGTTCAAGTTCCAAGATTTAAAAGATTAGTTTGATGTACATGACTTTAAAAAATGTAGTGATAGTATGTCAGTTTGCTGTAAAAATGTCAATGCTGTTAATGAAAGAATCTGTCAGAAGAGTTGTTGATAATCAGTTTTTGAAAGATGGAAATATTTTTGTAAACTTTGTGGCATTGTACTTCCCATATATGACATGTAAATGAGCTTGTCAGGCGATTAAATCGTGCTATTCATTAATACTTGTCTATTGCCTGGTCTGTTGTTCATTGAGTGATTTTACATGCAGGGGGTATGAAGAAGACAGATATAGACACCTTACTTTAACTAATAATGCAATAATCTGACAGTTCCTGAATGATTTGGCGATGAAGTGTAAAAAAAATAATATACTTACAACGATCTGGGATCGAGTTGCTCAAATTTTTTCTATTCTGTCATGAACAGTCTGGTTCATAGCCTTCTTCTAGTTAAGTAAACAAGGACAAGTGTTGACTGAACGCACATGATGACCACTCAAGAGCGCCCCTTAGCGAGGTTATTGAAAAGCGCAGTGCAGAGTCACACGTGTACGTGTTTGTACTCACGCAACCTGATCGATTTCTATGCAGTATTGTACAAATATAGCGCGTTGGGCAACGTTTTCGTTGTGTTGATATTAGGCAGTGTATACAGGTAAGCCCTTAGGGATATGTTTTGGATTTGATATTCACTGAAAACTATGGATATTCAGCTATGAACTATTGTTTTGGGAGAGGGGGAGGGGGGGCGTTCATATTATGACAACTGAGTTCGTTTTATATATCTGTTGCGTTCAGATTTTATAGGATATAACTTGCATTACTAGTTATTTAGAGAATATAACGTTATATTCTTGCTCTGTTTCCAAATTATTTTGCTAACTTAGTAACGTTATTAACTTAACGTTACTGTTTTTCTAGAATTGGTATGAAAGTCCATACAAACCCGAAATATTACACATGTATAAAACACATCAATGATTGATGCCTGATGCAATATTTATTAAGTTAATCATCGTTACATTCGTGGCAAAGTAATATCTGTGTTTCTCTTCTGAAAGTTCATTTTCATGGAAATGCCTTTGAAATTCCTTACCATTAATTATTAAATGCATACATGTTTGGGTGCATACTTTCATTTTCAATGTTATGAAATTTGAAACCTGTAGAGTTCAAGGCCAGCTCCAGAGAAGATGGCGGCATCAACAGCAGCTGTCCGTAGTGCCTTCCTGTGGTGCATGTCTGTCATCTACTTGCTGGCCTTCTCATCGCTGTATGTGCAGATACCAGGTGTGTTTCTCCAGGCGTCTTCCTCCATGTGTTTTCAAAATTCACAGAAGAGTATTCCAATCTTCTACATATCAAGATACCCGGTGTATTTATAAAGCTCTTTTACAACACCAAAGTTTGACATGTCCTGGCCAGCAATCTTACATACACGTGGCTCAGCGAAAGAAATTGACCCTCCATGAACCTGAAGTGTACCTACTGGTTAGTTAGTTAGGTTAGTTCCTCCCGTGCAAGGCACATTGGGCATCCCTAATTATCGCCATATATCTTACACATTTTAACTTGTCTCGGCAACAGATTATAAACAATTACATTTTTTTAAACAATTACATTGTTACACGCGTTTTAGATCATTTACAGTTTACTAGTAATAAAGGTGTTGAATATAATGATCATTGTGGGCTTATTAAGATGACAATGTGTTCACTAAAATTTATCCTCTTTTGAAGTTTACTACCATCAACATTAAATGACCTGTTATACTACAAACTCCATTTATTCATACAGAAGATATTCTTTTTTATTACTCCATCATTGTTTTCCCTTTATTTCAGGCTTATATGGTAGTACAGGACTCCTACCAGCTAACAGGATGCTGAAACTGGGTAAGTCAATGTGTGGAATTGGCAGTTTCTTCATATTTTGTGCACCACTATTGACTGTTTTTTTAAAGGGATCTTACTACATTTATTCTCCATAAATATTAAAGCATGGATTGATGTCATTAAAGAGCTTTTCATCACAAAGGTCCTTGTTGTCATATTGCCTGTCAATTAAGTATACTGAACTGTTCATATTGTCTATATACATGTAATAATAATTAATACTTCCGACATCACATTGTAGCTAATAAGGCCACAGCGACTTAATTTTATGGATGACATCTGCGCGCGCATTGATTTTCGCCTGTCGCCCTCAAAAAAAAAAAAAAAGAATCACCTCCACCGAGGCTCTGGTCTGGCTCTAGGCCTGGGTAGTCCATGCTAGTCAGCGACAAAACGGAGCCGAGAACCCAGGCTATCAAATTCGAAGCTCCACGACTCAAGAACTCAGTACATAAGTATAGTGCCGATTCATAAATGCCGCAAAAAGCCAGCATGTGCCGGCTTGTCGTGTACGTCAGTAAGTACTGTCGGGAATTCACAATACCAGCTTTGTATTCCTGTGGTTTAGTAGCATTTTTATTTTTGGCCGGAATTTTTTTTTTATTCGCCCGCGCGCACTAGTTTGGGGGTCTTCAGAGGATGTCATCCATAAAATTAAATCGGTGTGGCCTAATAGTATATCGTATTCCACACCCAGACGGAAAGACTCCCCACGAGCGTTTCTCGGAGCGCCCCACCCTGCTGTGGCTCACGCCGGCCCTGGGACTGACCACGGAACATGGCATGGACCTGCTGTGTCTGGCCGGCATGCTCATCTCTCTCGTTGCCATGGTAACCGAGGTCATGCGAGATGTTCCCGCTTTCCTCATGTTGTGGATCCTGTATTTTTCACTATATCAGGTAGGGGGAGTCAGAAATACATGATGCAGCAAGACAATATCAGTTTTCTTCTACATCATTTCCTGACAGCTTTGTTCATTTGTACCAACATGTAAATTTTATTGCATGCACTTGTATCGAATCTGTATCAATAGCAATCAATTAGTCTGTCTTGGCTGTTGTGTCTGCCATGCTTACTGCTTGCTACATAAAAGAAAGTTCATACATGGCTATGATTGCAGGTTGGGCAGACGTTCCTGTGGTTCCAGTGGGACATCCTGCTGTTGGAGGCAGGGTTCCTCGCTGTGCTGGCCGCACCGCTCAACCCCATGAAGTGGCTGCCCCCCTCCTCCCTGCCTCACGACAACGTGGCGCTGTGGCTGGTGCGCTGGCTGCTCTTCAGACTCATGTTCGCATCAGGGGTCGTCAAACTCACCAGCATGTGTCCCACCTGGTGGGGACTTACAGGTGAGGACAGGTGTGTTTCAGGTGTGTCAAACTCACCAGCATGTGTCCCATCTGGTGGGGACTTACAGGTGAGGACAGGTGTGTTTCAGGTGTTTCAAACTCACCAGCATGTGTCCCACCTGGTGGGGACTTACAGGTGAGGACAGGTGTGTCTCAGGTGTGTCAAACTCACTAGTATGTGTGTCCTAGGTGTCATACAGTCCTAGCCTGGGTTCCATCCTGGTTAGTCGCGACTGTGGGAGCGGACGTAAACTAACCAGGATGGAACCCAGGCTAATACAGTCCAGGATAATATACATGTATACACTGTGTCCTCAGCTCTGAACTACCACTATGAGTCCCAGTGCATCCCCACCCCGCTGGCCTGGTTTGCCCACCAGCTGCCTGAGTGGTTCCAGAAGCTGTCGGTCGTGGCAACATACATCATCGAGATCCCCGTCCCTCTGCTGTTCTTCGCACCGGTCCGGTCTATCCGCATTTTCTCCTTCTATGCCCAGGTGAGAAAAGTGTTCTATTGATGTTAGCTGCAGGTTACCAGTAAGAGTCCTTGCATTGCCTGAATCTATATTGCCCTCACTTTGTGAAAGGAATTTTTAGTATCCCTTAATAATTGTAGTTCACTTCCTGTAATTTAAATAGAGCACACGCCTTTGATGAAATAAAGACTATACTGTGTGTTTGTTTTCACAGGCTTTGCTTCAGGTCTTGATCATCCTGTCTGGAAATTACAACTTCTTCAACCTGCTGACCTTGACCTTGTGCCTGCCCCTGCTGGACGACAAACACCTGACCTACCTGTTCCCATGGTTACGGGTGAAACAAGGTGGGAAAATATTACCTTGTCACAAAATCTACAACCCATAAGAGAACAAGATGCCTTGCTGGAATTGATGGTATAATTCTTTGTTGGAAATAGAATTCAAGTCATCAGTGCTTTGAGAATACTATACTGAATTGTATGTATAAGAACATATGTAATTTGATTTGATATTTTTAAAGATTGAGTGTGATATTTCCGGTATGAAGGATTGTCTATAAAGCTGAAGGTTCTACTAAAATGATAACCCCTTTTCTGATTTTTCTGATTCCAGAAATGAACATGTCTGGAGATGTAGAGAGAAGCCCCTGGCAGAGGTGCAGAACTGTTGTGACCAGAGTGACTGAAATTCTGGTGTACTCAGGGCTGTTCTACTGGACATGTGTGCTCTTCAAACTCAGACTGACTGGTTTCACTGTACAGTCAAAAATTGGTAAGAGATGTCATCTTACATGTACCAGTAATTGAGTTAATCCTTGCAAGTACATTGTTGGTAACTGTATTCTTGGAGACTAGAGACACATTCACACACACGCAAGCATGCACACACCTATGAATGTGCCACAAATGCTATTAGCTACATTTATGTGTACCTGTGTCCATGTCTGTGTACTGTAGGTTTCACTTCAGACCAGTTCCACAGTACCCTGACCAGGGTCATGCCAGTCACCATTTGGCTTGGTGTTGGATCATTGACTTATCATATTGGAACAGCCTTAGTAAGGTTAGTACTGGTATATGGTTTGTTGATAGGGAAAATGTAGTTTAAAGAAACAATGAATGTGAAAAGGAAGTTTTCAGACTGAACATTGTAGTTTGTTTTTCATTCAACATCATTGGCAACAAATGATACTGGCAACAGGTACAGCAAAGTTTCATAGCTGTAATATATTGTCTCAATGAATCTCTGTTGAGTAGTAAAATGGTTTACTCATGTGCTCACTGATAATTTTAATGAAAAATATCACTGTAAAATCATCGCTCCCTGCTCTTATAAGTTATAATTATCATTATTTTAACAATCCCGTAGAATAGTTACCAAATATGTGTATAAATGTACATTTATGAAAGACACCAACGATTTTTTGTGTCTGTCTCTTTGTATTGAAGGTCCTTTACCAGTGAGGAAAATGTAAGAAGAAAAGTGTTCACCTGCTTCAGGTGCCTTCTATTTTCAGCTGCAGCTGTGTACATGTTTACTATCAGTCTGGTAAGTAAATAACTGCACTGATAGGTACACATACCAACAATAACATGGTTTTTGCATAAACCAGATTTGCATACAGGTTTACATTCACTATTTCAAACTGTTCTAACAAGTTAAGACTGATCTCACATTTTTACAGTACTCCATGAACCTGGTATTCCCTCACAATATGTAAGCTGTAGATCTAGAAATGGTTAACATAATTTTTGTTTCTTTACTAACATGGAAGAGAGGAATGGCAGAGTCTCTCCAAACATTTAACTCTATTCGTTGGTTACAAAAGGCCATTGCCAATTGTTTATCTTGGCTACCTTGAATCTGCATTATGTATTTGCAGACTGTGGCAGCTTTACAAATCATAAAGCTACCTTTTTTTAGTGATCATGATCTTATTAATGACTGTCAAACCGAAATGAAGTTGCCCTACCCATAAAGACTGATCTGGTGACTGAAAACCTATGTAAGATTTGTTCTGTACTTTTTCAGGTGCCTCACACAGTGATAGACTGGCAGTCTAACAACAACCTGTGGCCTATAGTCAAACAGTGGAACCAGAGAGTGGATAAGTTTCAACTCGTCAACTCATATGGGCTTTTCAGAAGGTGAGATCAGCTCATTGTAACAGTACATAATTCTATTACAGCTTCCACTGTATATCAAACATGTACTGTGGACAAAATGTTGTTTTTTAATAATTTTTCTATGGTCACTTGCTAGCAAAGAACTTATTTGCTAAATCAAACCTCTACAAGTGACCACCGCTATGTAAGGACCATCTGGTCAATGTGACCACTTTTTGACCAGAAGTTTTATGATTTTCCCATTGTCTGTCTTTCTGCGTAGATCAGACTTTATTAGTCCCCTTAATGGTCTTGAATAGTTTTGTGTTAGGCAGGTATACATATTGTATGTGCATAGACTGGGTGCATAGACTAGAGTCTGCCTAACCCTCCTATATTGACAATGTTATGCATGGTAGCTCCAATCATGTGCCTTTTGTTTTCCCTACAGAATGACAGGGGTGGGAGGGCGACCGGAGGTTATTGTGGAAGGCAGTAACTCCCTACAGCTGGGGTGGAAGGTGAGACTGGGACCGTCACTTCTTAACAGTAATGATTGTGATCTGAAAGTGTCATTATTTAAAAAAAACAGATGTCAAAACCAGAAGGGGTGTGTTTTGTCTTTCTACATTGAAGAAATTCTTGTTAAGTATTATTGTTTTGTACATTAAGCTGTCACAGTCACCGTGTATGTTCCCTTTTTCCCCAGGAGTATGAGTTTTTATACAAGCCAGGAAATGTGAAGACAGCCCCACCTGTTGTAGGTAAGGACTTCTTTAGATTGTCAGAAAATAGAATTGAAGGTGTGTGCCATACAGGCCCCTTAACATATAATGCTAAGTCATTGATGAACCCATTATAATAGTTGCTTTTTTACTGTCCCTCTCCCTTACCTTCATAGAGTTTCAAAAGTGTTTTGTGTAAATAGAATATAGTTTTTTTTATACTGGACAGTTTGCATAGTTGACTAGGTAGTGACCCTGCATCAGTCCCCTGTACATGTATGTCTGTATTTACCTCAGCCCCCCACCAGCCCAGACTAGACTGGCAGCTGTGGTTTGCAGCCCTGGGCAGCTACGGACACAACCCCTGGTTTGTCAACATGGTCCACAGGCTGCTGCATGGGGACAAGCATGTTCTCGCACTCATGGGCTCTGACCCATTCAATGGAAAACCACCAAAATACATCCGGGCTACCCTGTACCATTATCACTTCACCGAGTGGGGAAAAAACAGGTATGGTTCACCTTTGAAGAGATATTTTTGCTGTACAAAATGTATGCCATGTAAAATGAAACAGAGTGGTAAAAAGCTCACAGATGAAACTGCTGTTACCAGTTACAAACCTTCATACTTTAATAGATTTTATCACATGTGTATATGTTTGTAATAGATGTTGTTCGATTTTAAAGATTTTATGGGTTGTAATTGTAATTGTGAGTAACAGTGCAATTCAGAACCCCTGGGTTCTGCAAAACTGTTTTACGTCGTCATCAATAAACCAGTCATAATACAAACCTTAAGAAAATCAAGATGACACCTCACCTTAGACCTTAGACCAAGATGACACCACACACCCGTTTCTCCAGTTCTGCATGGTGGAGACGAGAGCGGCAGTACGAGTACCTCCCCCCGCTACAGAAGGACGACCCTTCAGTTCTGAAGTTCCTCGCACACCACAACCTTATTTTGGTTAGTATGGTACTTTTTCGGGTAGTGAAATCTCTTACTTTGAAATGTCCAAAAGTTTGTTTCTTTTAGCCTTAGTTTTTGTGTAACACAAAATAATGTACAATGATTTCCTGTATGCAAATGTAGGCATTAAGGGTCTCAGGTACCTAGATTGTCAGTGAGGCAAGTCATCTTATGCTTGTCATATTACATTGATCTACAGTAGCTGTTATTAATATAAAGCTGTCAAGTATTGTGTCACTGGTACAGGATTTACCAAATGCATCAACATCATTTTATGTTATTTGGTACTGAAGTGTAGGATGGTTATCTTTCATATTACAGGAAGGAAAAACCTCTACCAAAAAGGCCAGGAGCATGCTGGGATGGATGGTGCAGTGGTTGCGAGGCATGCTGGGAAGCATGTCAGGGGTCATGTTACAGGTGACCCTGGTGGTGACAGGGCTGGTGGTCAGCTGGGTGCAGCCCATCATGGCCAAGGTTGTGTGATGGAGGAAGGAAGATTTACTTTTAAAGTGGGAATTGTTTGTAACATTTGTATTTACATGTCCTGATTATGTGGAGATGGTGGAAGAAACAGTCAGGTATTGTTCTCCATACTGACAATTCTTGTCAAGGTTTCTGGACCATAAGTCTCTTCAAATTAATCAACACAATACATTATATCTTTGATGATCATTTTCAACTTTCAAAAGTTTTAGAAATGTAGCCAGGTTTTGAAATCTGTATGCCAGTAATCACAGTTAGCAGTTGTAGACAACCTTTATGTTGAAAAATTGTTACTGTATTGGAATGAATGATGAATATGGTCGATGGGAGTGGGATGGGGTCTAATTCGATCTAGTACGACGGAAAAATCTGCTGTGATGCATGTTTACAGGTAGGTAATATGAATAAAATCATTTTAATTCATCATAATGAATATGAATCTTCAAAATCTTCATAATTTTATGATAAACAGTTAAATACCAAAACACAATTTTACTATATATAATCTTTAAACTTTATTTCACAAAGTAACAATCTACAAACAATGCTATCAAACATCACTGACCACAAGTTTATATCTAGTGTATAAAACATATTACAGTACAAAAATATAGCATCTCTATTTTCATTTGTACAAATTAAATCATCTGTATAGAACAGAGTAAAGAATTTTATTTACAATCTTAGTTTTATACTCATCAAAATGACAAAGCTTGTTACAGGACATATTAAATTCCTATAAGTCATCTCTTGGTCGTAAAATAAAGTCAATCTTCATTTATGTCTGCATAATGCATACCAAATAAAATTTAATGTACCTCTGATTCTCTCCTGCAGTTTGACCAAATGCCTGATCTTTCTATATCTTGAAGCCAAGTGACATGTTTTTTACAGTTTTAACACAGTAACTGACATCAAGTATCAACCATAGGCTATTGGTGCAGGCAAACCCCCAAAATTACTTTACTACTACATTGTAGCACAAGTCGCAATCTTGTTCATGTAATGTCTTACCAAGGACATTATACACAGATAATGTCCTTGGTCTTACCTAACATAGTGCACAGTACAAATAAGTTGTATATACACCTTTGTTAGTTGCTATAAATATGTCAAACTACATGTGAAAGAACATATGCATCTTGTAAAATGCAACCATTTCTAGCTTTCTAACAGGTAAGCAACAAATAAAGATCAGACATCAGAATGGTGAAAAATGAAGCCAACAGGTATCTGCATACAGTTCACATATATGTATCTGCATAGAGTTCACATAATTCATAATGCACATAGTTGTAGCCTTTCCCTCATTTCTTCTATACATATTTCTTTCTCCACATTTGCTTTCTATATATCAAGCATACATTTTATGATGACATTTGTCAGACAAAAATATCCTAAAGCATACATGTACTGTACCAACTTCTAGTAACTCCCAAATTAGAAACAGATTTGGACTCCTTACCATTTAATAAAGGCTACAGCCATATTTAGGGTCAGCATGTGCTTTATTGCTGAAATGTGATCTTGATTGTCCTTGTTCAAATCTCTTGGAAGGACCTTGTTCATTTTTAGACTAATCTTGGTCTGATTCCTGAGATAGACACATGATTTTGAACAACATAGTAACTGACTACAATGTATATTCAGTCTAATGCATCATATTATACATTGTACATGAAACAGTTAACACTGTGTAGAGCCAAATGCAAATGCCATATTGCGATGTATAAGCAAGATCCTTCATAGGCAAGCTATCACTTGATTATGAATAATTCATTACATTTTTGATTTACAGTATGGAGACTGATACTTCTATTGTGAGACATGAAATCTTTATGTCCACAGCTGCTCCCAAATCTAACAGCTTCTTTGCTGAGCTCCAATGTTTATTCATCCTGTCCTGACCCAGCTCATCCTTGTCACTGACAGACAGGCCTCCATCATACATGACCTCCTCATCTCTCTCTTTGTACACTGTACCCTTCACACTGTTCACAAATTGTCTTATATCCTCTACTGTGTCATCTAGTAAATCTGCAGAAGAGCTAACCCCCCTCAACCCAAGCCTTTTAAGGGCATGCAGAAAAGTGCAGGCCTCAACAAAAACAGTGATGCTTGAAGCAGGGAGGCCAACATAATATAGGTAAACCTGTTCAATTTGTTGCAGCTTTAAGATGTGTGCAGCAACAGCTGTCACACCTGTTGTTCCAATCTTGTTATGAGACAAGTTCAGATATTTCAAACTACGAAGGAAGTGGAAGTGCTCAGCCAGAACTTTTGCACCTGCGGCTGTTATTTTACACGAGTTCAAATCCAGATAGCTCAGGTGTTGCATATGGAGAAAACTATTTGCCAAAGCTTCAGCACCATCATTGCAAACAGGATTGCCTGAAAGTCTAAACCACTCTAGGCTCTTAAGGTGAAACATTTGGGAGACCAGAGATATACAACCTGTGTGTTGAATGTGCATGTATGGTATCCAGCTGCAGCCAGATAGATTTAAGTGCTTTATGTGCTGAAAGTAGGCAAATGCTTTTGCCAAGGCTTTTGCTTGGTGATCACCAAGTCCAGATCCACTACTTTGTATGATGGTGCTCAGATCAAGTTTCTCCACATCTGTGTGCTGCACACGATGTCCAGTTGGCAGGGCTAGAGCAAGAGAGTCAATAGTCTTTGCAATAGTAGTGGTACCAGCCCATGTCAGATCTGAAAATGTTATCCAGTGTGACTTATTCTCATCCTCTTTCTGTACTGAATACAACACTTTGCCCTGATAGCTGAGCTCCACTCGGTACACTTCAGAGAACAGTTCATTAACCAACGAGACAACTCCAGCATCAGCAGTATTAATGGCTAGCCTGTTGCTCTTGTTGTTGTATACACCCAGAAGATATACATAAGGAGACACCCTGGTGCTGAGATTTACTTCTTTAAGGTGCTCCATGTTAGAAAGTGTGAGAAGCAGAGATTTTCTCATGTCAACAGGAACACTATACACAGTGAAGTTAAGATATATAATCTTTTCAAGTTGGGCCAACTTTTCATTCATACCCATGACACCATTCTCACCAATGCCATTATCACTCAAATCTAACCACTCTAGCTGTTGTGGCAGATGGGAAGCCACTGCTGTGGCACCTCTGGATGTGATCTGATTATCAGACAAATCTAGATGTTTGAGCCCAGGTAAGTAACAGAACATCCCAGCCAGTAGTCTCACTTCCTCATCCCCAATGCGAGACCCTCCCAGCCTGAGTTCCTCCACATCTGCCTGCTGCACACGGTGTCCTACAGGCAGGACTACAGCTAGAGCCCGGATGTTCTGAGTAATCTCACCAGCACATGTCAGATCTAATGTCATCCTGTGTGGATTCTCCTCTGTCTGTACTGAATACAGCATGTTGCCCTGGTGGCTTAGCTGCACTCTGTACACCTGAGAGAACACCTCATCAACTAATGAAACCACATCTGATTCAGAATCACCCATCCTGATGGTGAGTTTATGTCCCTGGTTATTGTAAACGCCTAACAGATACATATATGAACAAAATATCTTAGAGCTGAGATTGACCTCTGAAAGGTGTTCCATCTTAGACAGTGTGAGAAGCAGAGATTTTCTCATGTCAACAGACACATCAAATGTAGTTAAGTTTAGACATTTCAGCTTTTCAAGTTGGGGTAACATTTCATTCATAGCTGTGGTACCCTCATCACCGATGTAAATACCACTCAAATCTAACCACTCCAGCTGCTGTAGGTGAGACATGTGAGAAGCCACAACCGTTGCAACTGTGGATGTGATCCCACAAAAAGACAAATCTAGATGTTTGAGCCTTGGTAAGTAACAGAACATCTCAGCCAGTAGTCTCACCTCCTCATCTCCAATATCAGACCCTCCCAGCCTGAGTTCCTCCACATCTGCCTGCTGCACACGGTGTCCTACAGGCAGGACTGCAGCAAGAGCCCAGATGTTCTCAGTAATGTCACCAGCACATGTCAGATCTAATGTCATCCTGTGTGGATTCTCCCCTTCCTCTGTCTGTACTGAATACAGCACCTTGCCCTGACAGCTGAGTTCCACTCTGTACACCTGTGAGAGCACCTGATCAACTACTGAGACATCTGATTCAGAATCGGTCTTGATGGTGAGTTTATGTCCCTGGTTATTGTTGACGCCTAACAGATACACATATTTACAAAACATCTTAGATCTGAGATTGACCTCTGAAAGGTGTTCCATCTTAGAGAGTGTGAGAAACAGAGATTTTCTCATGTCAACAGACACGCCATATGTAGTTAAGTTTAAACATTTTAGCTTTTCAAGTTGGGGTAACATTTCATTCATGGCTGTGGCACCATCCTCACCAATGTAAATATCACTCAAATCTAACCACTCCAGCTGCTGTAGATGGGGCATGTGAGAAGCCACAGTCCTGGCTCCTAAGGGTGTGATGATGTTATCAGACAAGTCTAGATGTTTGAGCCTTGGTAAGTAACAGAGCATCTCAGCCAGTAGTCTCACCTCCTCATTCCCAATGTCAGACCCTCCCAGCTTTAGCTCCTCCACATCTGCCTGCTGCACACGATGTCCTACAGGCAGGACTGCAGCAAGAGCCCGGATGTTCTTAGTAATGTCACCAGCACATGTCAGATCTAATGTCATCCTGTGTGGATTCTCCCCTTCCTCTATCTGTACTGAATACAACACCTTGCCCTGACAGCTGAGTTCCACTTTGTAGACGTGAGAGGAAAGCTGGCTTACTAGTGTAACCACATCAGTGTCACCAGTCTTGACAATGAGCCTGCTCCCCCTACTGCTGTTAATACCCAGGAGGATTTTGTAGGAAGATGTTTGCGAACCAAGAATCAATTTTGGTATTTTGTCCACACCAGTAATGGACTCGCACAAATTTGTCAGTTCATCCTTTCCAACCTTGTTCTTCGTTAGATCTACAACTTCTAGCTCTGTCAGGCTTGATAGGCAATGTGAAACAATGTTTGCTCCCTCACTAGTTATACCTGTTTGTGACAGGTTCAGATGTTTTAACTTCTGGAGGCAGTGGAAATGTTCACCAAGAGTAGCTATAGAATCATTGGAAATTCTACATTTAGACAGAACCAGATGTTCTATACTTGGTATGAAAGATAAGAAGTCACATATTGTTGATATGCCAGAGGGAGATAAAGTGGTCTTTTGAAGACTTAAATGCTTCAATGCAGGTACAAACTGTAGCAGTGAAAGGATGCTCTTAAGGTCAGAACAATCATTGAGTGCAAGATTGTTGAGGTAAAGCTTATCCATGTGGCATGGTGTTTGGGAAACTAGAGCTGAGCTGCTATCTATCAATGATTTGTAATGTGGGTACAGGGAAACGGATCTGTGTCTGGACTTTACAAGGGACAACAATGACTGTGCCTCTGCTTTGTTCTTTTTGGACTTAAACAGGAGCTTGTGCATCTCAGCATCATTGGAAATTTTACATGTCAAAGGAAAAGTTTCCTTCAGATGTGCCAGTGCCAGCTTTCCTAAGTAACTCATACTTGGCCATAATGTTAGATCAATTACATTACCTGGAAAAATCTGTGATGTGTGACTTTCAAATCTATCAACCTGCCCTGTCTCTGCAATACATATGGCAACTTTTTGGCTGACACAGAAATCTGTTGTATCCATGGAAAATAAGATTCTAGACAGCTGATACGAGAACAAATCTACCTGCACTTTCTGTGCCATAAGACCTGCAACAAAGTATGCCATGAGGTCCAGCTTTGAGGAAAGATCAAAACACTGCCTCAGAAATTCATTAGCTCTGATAGTCTCACCAGCTTCGTGAATTGTCCCTGCTACCCACATAGCCATCATGTATTGCCGTATGCACTCATGTTTAAATCTGTAGTATGGAGCAACAGAAGAGGACCCTGTGTCATCAGAGGTTGGCTCTAGCCAGGCCTGCACATACTTTAACTGATCATCAGTGAAACAAGACTGCAGACTCTCAAGTGATAACAACTTACACACCCCTCCAGCATGTTGTTTGAAGAGCAATTTCCCAAACTGATACTGTATATCTTGCTCTATGCTGTGGTATGCTTCTACATCAAGATTGTCTTTGACACAGTATTCATGACCAAGCTTTGTGACAACATGAGACACAAACTGTGTTAGCCTAAATGGTAGAGCACCCTTATCATTCCAATAATGACACAAATGTTCATGGTAGAACTCATCTTTGATGAGGTGCATCACCAGCATGTTGAAGCGGAACTGCTCCTCCAGTGAAGCTATCCTATCAGGTACAACATGGGTCTTCATGGCTTCCTGCCAACGTTTGATGTCATCTGGGGTCAGCTTGAAGCTCAGGTCATCAGTGGCCACCTCAGCCTGTTCTGTGTTGTCACTTCTTGATACCCCTTTGGTGAGAGATTTTTATTGAGCAAAATGTGTATAAATGTCAAACGAGTACATACACGGATGTTTATTATGTTGATGAAGACCAAGCTGGCAATAAAGCATATAATACAATGTAATATTGAGTGAAGAAATATCAGATGCAAAGGGACACATAATATATATGGAAACACCAAATATTAAATGCTGACTTGGAATATGAATGGCTCCATTCTCTATCCAAAATATGCTAAAAAATAATACAGATCCTATTACATATGGATATACTTTCATTCTAGGAAGTAAGAATTGAAATGCAATTTATTATCTGTAATATATATTATTTTTCTTCCAAAACTTTGCACAAGCTTTATAGTGCAGATACCTGTTTCTTCTACCATCTCCACATCATCATCTTCCTCAGTCATCTTCTTTTTCTTCACTCCCTTTCCTGCAGGCCGCTGAGGGTTAGGGACTCTACGCTTCCCCATCTTCAATGGCTTCATCTTCAACAGCTTTGAAGGGAGTGCCGCACCCTTCATAGAATCATCATCTGTGATTGCACAACCATGAGTAAAGATTAGCATTGGCAACCAATTGACAGCATACATGTACTCACAGAAAAGGGTGAAACCAAACCAAATTCTGTGTGTCATATCATCATTTATGTATCAGGCATATTTCAATTGCCCAAGAAAACTTCTTACTTTTTTAAGACTGGTAAAAACAAAAAAAAACTTTAACTGGTCTGTGATGAAATAGTGTGATGTTCAGAATCATTTCAGCCTCGTCACACTTTCTTGAGCTCACCTCCATCAGAATCACTGTCACTGTCTGAAGATGCTTCACTGTCATCTGAGGCCTTCTTGCTTGCTCCATGTTCATCTTGGTCAGACATGTCTCCAATACCTAGCTTTTCTACAAATCAAAACACAGAAATTTTATAGTAACACCCATTCATTGCATGTGCTCAGAGCTGTAAACTCCTCAATTCTAGCATGTGACCTCACAGGAAAAGTAGTACATTTAGATACAATTTTGGTAATCAGCAATCAGAAAAGACTACCTGCTGTCCCATGGAATCCTGCCACCCTAAGCTGCTGTATGAGTACTTGAAGAGTTGCCTTCTGTCCTTCCCTGTCCCTCCACCTGTACAGCAGCTTCCAGCACTGCTCATACGGCTGGTCAGGTGACGCTGACTTGATGCTGTCCACATCAGACTGTGTGAAGCCCATGGCATGGGCCAGCCGCTCCCAGTCAGACCACAAGTCCTTGGACACTACTTCAAAGGCTGTGTCAATATCTGATGGAAGATGAGTCAACATGATGGATCTAATGTTGAACATCGGTAGGATCAAATCAAGGTAACCAATTGTGGCATTCAGGCCATTTCAGCTTACCTGTTATAATGTGTATCATTGCCAATCATATGTAAAAAGCAGATGGAGTAGAGTGGATACAATATCCTCCTTACAGTAGCAACATTGCAAGATAAAGAAGATTGAGACAAATATCTGACCTGACTCCAAGTCCATGGGTTCCTCTTTGACACTGATGTGTGTGTCTATGTCCATTGGCTCTCCTTCGAGGGATGATGAGTGCGGTGATGATAAAGTCTCTGTGTGCCAGTCATCAGAAGGGGGGTGATCTTCATCTGGGGAGTGACAATCTGCAAAGGAAAAACATCTTATTGAGCCTTGATTCTCCAAAATTTATCAAAAGATAGACCAGCATTAATCATGTCACCTTATGTACAATGTACAGACAACTTTCACTTCGGAACTTCAACTGACCTTCATGGAAGAAGTTCCAGGCATTGTGCACATCTGTCTGGTTTATCTCCACACAGACATACAGCTCTGTCCCTCCACAGGCTGCTGTCATCTGCTCATCCACGTACTCATGTGTAAGGAGTTCTGTCAAGGCTCCGTCCCTGCAGCCATCCACAAACTCCTGCACACTTTTCCATCGGTAGAACGTGAGGAGGCACCACACACTACCCTCCCATAAATCCTTGATGGAACCTTTTAGCTTGTCAAACCTGTGCATGGCCATGTCAAACCTTTGAGGATCATTTAGCACTTCCTCTGTGAAGATGATGTCAGCCTTCTTGTTGAGCCAGTCACTCCACTTTTCTTTGATGGACAGTTTAACCTTCACATCTGACAAATAAAGGATCAGACTGTAAGAGTGATGGTTGAGAGCTTTTTTCACTCCAAAAATTGGTCTTGTTTGTCATTGATCTATTTTACCAAGACGTTCTGATTTCCATAGACTGATATTTATTCAATTGACCAAATTTCTGTATGATCTAAGCAAGCTAGATGAACAACAAATTGAAAGAAAAACTTGCATATACAAGAAGATTTTCTTGGCCAATGACCAACGTTATGCATTACCAGTCCCAACGTTATGCATTACCAAACACTGATCAACTTGTACGTCAAAGCTGTGCAATGATCCACCAAGTTGCCTTTCTCAACTTAGACACTATTACAGCATGGAGCCCCCATGATTACAGTCATGACAGTTGAAGTACTTTATTTATGCCTTCCTTCAACAATGCACATGGCTTGTAGGGTTAATAATGAGGAGAGCTAATGAACGTAAATAAGAGGGTAATCCTGTAGAAATATTGAATTTTTCCCTCAAATCAAAGTAAAAAAACACCTAAATTATACTACAGAGATTTTTCTCATTAATTCAAAGCAGTAATCATTTACTCTAGTCATTATTATTTAATACATGGTTGTACGGTACCTGCACCATTCCGTAGCTTAATCTTAGTGTCCTTGACAGCCTTGACCAATCTCTCTATGGTGACCTCCTGACCACAGGTCTCCCTCCACAGTTTCATCCCAGCCTCGCAGGCGACTTCTGGTGTCTCCTTATTCTGTAGAGTCTCCAGCTCCTGCTCAGACAGACCCAGGTAATGCAGGAGGGTTCTCCACTCATCACTGATGATGCTGGCCACCACACATTCAATGGCTGCATCTATGTCTACCATGAAAGAAACTCTGTGATCATGATGTACAAACTGTACTTACATGTAAAACCAAGTTTAACGAAAAACATATTTGACACAGACATGCAGATATCAAGATTTTTACTTATAAATCTTATGTTGCCAAAATGCTACAAAAATTCACAAGACCACTAAGTTAAAACTCTGGAACATAATATTGACCAGCTGAATAGCATTGTTTGAATTCCACCTGTGCTTAGAGAATCTCTACAGCATACATGACCCCAGACTACAGCATGTAGAGTGAGTTGGGGTGACTTACCTGCAAATTACACTTTGCCACTTTTATCTATGGTCCACTTCATCATTTCTATTGGGGCTAAATATCGGAGAAGTATGAATTTCTGTCTGATAAGGTGATATTCAATTCAGAAGAATTGTTTTATTTAATCTGAAGAAGATGGAACATTAAACTGATAATTCATTATATGCATATAATATAGAATTTAATACACATATTTTAGAAAACAAGGCATAAAAACTGAGTTGCATACTGACTCATATTAAGCAGCTCTGATGGACTTGCAGGAGAGATATTTGATCGGTTGTTGCGGGTTTGTCTAGTATGCACTGAAATCTGGTCACTGGATGCCTTGAGAAGTGGCCTGCTGGGTCCTGGATGTGAATGTGTGGGATTCTGCTCAAGGCTGGATGGTGTTGAATGACCATTAGAGGTGTCTCCTTTAGGGTGGGACACACTGAATGTAGTGCCTGTCTTCTGTTGACAAGACGTTCCTAAAGATTGACACATTCATGCAGTTATACTTAGAACTTGTCAAATCTTCTCAATTGCAAGAATTAAGCATGCAGGTTCCAGATACAGTACATGTACAATCAGAGGGTAAGCATATTATTTCTTTCATTAAAAATGTGCTGCTGAAGAGCTGCAATTGTACTGTTTCTGCCTTTCTGAATGAAAAAGTGCTGATACCAGTCATTCAAATTGTTCCCAATCTTACCATCCAATTGACTATTGCAATCAACAATCAATTGCCAACTCATATTTCAGAATACAAATAGAAATGATAAAGACTTTTATTCCTGCCCTTTGTTTCTAATTCTATGTGAGGTCGCAAACTTTTTGAACATCATAAACTACTGGATATTTGTTATACTTACATTACACAATTTGTACCTAATCTTCAACTTTCATGGTACAAAAAGACTCACCTGTTATATCTGCTTCCATGTGTACACCACATTCTTGGCAAAGTGCCCTCTGGCTTTCTTCCCAGTACTTGGACGCCAAGAGCTTGTCTTTCAATTGCCTAGAGAACTCAAATTCTTTCCTGCCATTTTGAAGCATCTCTGTTATCCTCTTGGCAAGGTTTTTGGAATCTTCTGTATCATTCCCTTGGATGCGGAATATACAGTGGTCAAACTCTGGACCAAGTGTCCGCAGGAACAATGCTAGGCCAGACCTATCAGATACAAGAACAGGTATTCCTGCAGCTATTGCCTCCAAACCAATGAGGCCAAATGGTTCTGTTCGGGATGGCACCAAAACAAGGTGAGCCTGCTTTATATCCTCACAAATCTGCTCTTGGGTTCCATACTCTAAAGGAGTGAAACAAAATGTTCCTACATCTATTCTAGAGTTGATGATTTTTTTGCTTTCATAAAAGGCATCTCTGGAAATGCCTCTTTGTTGCCATTTCATATGTGGAAATATTTCAGCAACCATGTTCAATGCCATCGCTGCTAAGTCATAACCCTTCAGTCTCTCCACACCACTTACTTTCCCAATGGACAATACAACTTTTGTCTGAGTTTCAATGTATATGGGATTTGTCTCAATGAATACATCTGATGGTTTGGGCACAAATTTGATGTGAGACTTTAAAGGGTCTTGTAGAGCCCTGTACATGTTACAGTAGTAGTCATGCATATAGGGTCCTACAGAAAACAATGCATCAGCTTTCTCTGCATCTTTGCGAGCTGCCTCTTTCTTTCCTTGGATTTCCAAAACCTTGCCTTCATCTTTATAGTGATCTGTGTCCTCTGGCATGTCATGATTAAAAAGGAAGAGCTTTGCTTGTGGATACCGTTCTTCCTTGATGAGTAATGCTGCATCACTCGTAACATCTCTATGGCCTATAACACAGCTAATATCTGATGGGAGATGAGGGAATCTGGAGGCATGGTCAAACAACCATGGCAAGGATGGTTCTCGATTGTCATCATTAAAACGTTCTGGGAAGAGTAATGTGACATGATCTCTCTCAGCATCTTCCTTATCCTTGTCACTTGCTGTTAGTACAATACAGTAGACATTCAGATGTTGTGATGCCAGGAACTGTGCAAGCTGGCGGTTGATGGTGGAAACACCCCCTTGGCTTGTTCCATACCCGTCATTCACCAGAAGGATAGAGATCATGCCTACAGAACATGCAATTTCAAGGTGGTAAAAATTTAGAAATTTTTAGAATGTCAGGACAAAAACATACCAGGTACATTGTAGTACATCAGAGATTTGGAATTTCAACCATTACTCTAGGCCACTGTGGCACACCAGTGTATTTGGTTCTTGGACATTTCCAGAAAAAAATGTGGAGCAAAAAAAAAGGAAAAATGAAAGCATTCTATGTCCACAACCAACCTCATCCAGCTACAGTATTACCATAATAATTTACATATCAGTAACATGGATCGTTGTCATTTCAACCATTTTGTCCAGTCTACCTCTATGGTCATATATAAGCCATTGACTTGTTCTGGCAGATAGCTTCTAGCCTTGTTAAGAAGTACTAGTGGTATTGGTTCTTTTGGAAATGCAGTGACCAATTCTTATTAAGGCCTTGTCATGATTTTGGATATGCACATATCTCAAGTGATGATTGAAAACTGAAATGCTTAAACAAGGCTATGTGTGTGGTGTATCACATGGTCCTCATAATGGCATCATAACAGGATTTAAATATGCATTGGGATTAAGTTACAATTTCCGTTACAAATGCTTCTGAGCATTCCTGAAATAATACTACAATTTGAATAAGTGTATGTATTTGTAGGGAAAATACACAAGTGTATTTTTCTTACCATGACAAAAAATCACACTATGCTGTAGCTCTCGTTTAAAAGCAGGTTCAATGTTGGTAATTGTTACCTTGCATTTTTGCTGCTATGCTGACTGTCTGCAAATCATCTGTGTCCTGGTCACATGGTCCTAACAATGGCTGGGCTTCATGTACATGTCCTGCAGTGAATGTGGGATTTTCTCCTTTCTTTGAGTTCAAGTCTTTAGTAAGTTTCCTGACCAAACCACCGTGCCCAGTCTCCTCCAGTGCCTGACAGAATGACTGGAATGCCCTGTCACCTTTAGATGGCAATATGGCCAGCAGTTTGCGGACTTGATTTGGTCCATCCTTTTCTTGTACTTGCTGTTCATCTTGCTCGGTGATTATGTTGTCTTGTACAAGATAGTCTAGTATTGTGGGAATGTGCTCTGAATTTGTTCCATGTACCAATTGCCTACGGTGGTCCCTCAAGGCACGCAAATGCTGAGGATTCATTACGAATGTGCCAGTATGTTCAAAGCACAATTGAAAAAGAGAAGTTGGGTATTTGTTCCTGAAAATCAGCCCATCTTTTGAGCCTGTAAGTAAAAAAAAACATTTCAGCAAAGACCCTTCAGGAGCTTTTTACATTCAATTGTGTAAAATGTAAGTAACGTCACCGTTACATGAATATAACGGTAACTAACGTTACCTTTAAAAGTTACACTAACTTACAGTAACATCTATTTCACTAATTTTACTAGTTTCTACATCTGTAACGTTATGGCTACTTAAGTATTCAAATTTTACAGGGTAAAACTCAATTATTGACCTTAAAAATATAAAACATGAAAAGAAAGCAAAGACCACAGTATATTACAATATTGTCCCAACTAGGGGAATCCCCCTAAAAAATACGTCCATGGAAAGTCCACACCAAAATGCCTCACAAACTCACTTCATACTCTCTAGCGTTAGGCTGCTCGGTCTTAGGTGCTTCCAGATATCCTCTGTGGTCTGCTTTGAAAGAAGCTGTTCAAATACATGTACACCAACTCGTAACGTCAGATGTTCATGCTTTTAAACTTTACGTGTCAAGATCCGAAACTTTCATCTTAACTACCGTCGCCATTTTGATCCGAATGGTCCATTCTATTTAGGGGGGATCATTGTTTAGAAAATTAAAAAAACTGGCGCATGACAGAAAACAATTGTTACTAAATTTGAGGTTTATAGATCTTCACAATATAGAGTACAAAACATTACTAGCCTGTACTGGAGAGAGTTAGGTAAATAAATGTTAAAATAAATTGCTCAAAAAGTTTTTGCCCCTATGCTATTAATGGTATAGGCCACAGAACCAAAAGTTAACTTATGGTATCTGTAGACCTACATTCTTTTGTTCTTCCATGCAATTTCAGTCTTTAATCTCTGCACACCACTATTGCATATGAACCCATTTCATTGCCTTTAACCAAATTCATGTCTACAAAATACAACGGGACAACACATTTCAAGACATCATGCTCATAAAGTCATAATGTAGGAAACTTTTTATTGTAATGGCTGCCATCTCTATATCTCTACCTGCTCCCTCCCTCAATCAATCAATCAATCAATCTTTATTATCCCTCCCTTTTTCTTGGCTGCAAGTTCCAGAAGAAAACGTTACATTTTTTTCTGCTTAAAAGGCTTTTACATCCATCCCACCGATAGCAACTGAAGGTTTTGAACTGAAACATGTAAAAGTAAAGATCTAAAAAAAACAAACATAAAATGTCCACTTTATTTACCATTGGCACAACAAACATCCAGCATTATAAAATCCACTAATCTTTACAAATGCCATTATCAAGTGCGCACTGCGCAAAAATTAGCCTACTCAATGGAAATGATTAGCAATTACAAATTAAGATGACAACGTCATTTCTGAAAAAAAAAGAGCTTTTCCATATACAATGTATTAAACCACCATTTGTAACATTATACATCTGTCCATTTAAACAGTCCTCGCTGCTTAAATCACATAGTTACAATTTATTCTGAGGCTGGATAAGACAATGATATGAGATTAATTGTATGTCCATTGATCATTGTTAGCACAATGAATCACATAACATCTACAGTTGAACACCATCAACTAGCTACAGCAGAAGGGGAAGATTCTACTCTTCCAGTCCCTTGTAGATGTACTCTGTGGCCTCTGGAAAGTTGCAGTCCTTAGCCACCTCATAAGGTGTTTTTCCCTCCTTGTTTCTCAGACTGGGGTCAGCGCCGCTCTCCACTAAGATCTGTACGATGTGTGTCTCGTCCCACCCGGCATAGGCGCATTTGGCAGCCAGGTGAAGAGGGGTGTCACCATTCGTGTTCTTCGCGTTCAGGCTGCAGCCTTTTCCAATCAGCTCTTGGACTGCTTCGTCTGCATTTCTGCGTGCTGCGGCGTGCAGCGCAGTGTCCCCCACAGCGTTGCTGGTGTTGACATCCACCCCTTGTTGTAGCAGCATCCGTACAAGGTCCTTGGCGTCCCTTCGTGCTGCCATATGCAAGAGGGAGTCATCTGTGTCACTCATAATCCGCAGGTCCGCATTGGAGTCGAGCAGTGTTTGGAAGGCGTCACTGGCCTGTGTCAGCATTGTCAACAACAATGATGTCTCCCCTTCATCATTCTTAGCGTTAATGTTGATGCCATGGCTGATAAGGGCCTTGAAAACTTCAGTGTTGGCATTTTCCCGTGCAGCAACATGGAGGGCTGTGTTTCCCTTTGTGTCAACGGAGTTCACTTCTGCACCAGCATCCACTAAAAATGAGATCGTTTCTGCAGAGTTTGAACCAGACGCAACATGCAGGGGTGTTTGCTCATGCTCATCCTTAGCATTCACGTCTGCTCCTGCTGCCAGAAGAGTTTTCACCAACAGGGTAGGCTGTCTCGATTTGGCGGCCCAGTGTAAAGGAGTCAGCCCCATGTCGTCAGGCACGTTGGGATCGACTTTGTAATCTCGAACCAAAGTTTCTACAGCTGAAACACGGTCAAACAGAATTGCTCGGATCAGTGGAGTGGCTTCGTTCTTGTTCCGGGCATTCACGTCAGCCCCCGCTTCCTTCAACATAGGCAGTAGCTTGTCGGCGTGATCGGAGCGCATGGCCCAGTGCAGGGGAGTGCGGCCATTGTTGTCAGCCAGGTTTGGGTCAGCACCAAACTCCTTCAGAAGTACCTCCACTGTCAGCACCGGCCCGCCGTCTTGGATAGCTGCCACCAGCGGTGTGTACCCCCACATGTCCTGCGCATTGACGGTCGCCCCGTACTTGAGCAGGATCCGCAGACGCTTCTGTTCATGGACACGGCGGACCGCGTGGTGCAGGGGTGACTGTTGGCAGCAGTCTGCCAGGTGGACATCTGCCCCAAGGTCCCTGAGAAGTGCCTCTACAACTGGGACCTGTGGAAAAATGAAACAAAGGACTCAATCATAAAACATAACCAGCTGTATGTGTCTGGACCATGTTTAACTGAGATTAAATTCAATCTTTCATTTGATTTTTATCCTCCTTGGTTTAACAACATTTATGTTTCCCCTATTTTTCCCCATTCCCTTTTTAAAATTAAAAAAAATATATTTCTTTTAAAATAAAGTACCATCCTCTACCATGTTAGTTGTGGTGGGTTCTTATGGTCCTTTATGAATACGTAAATACGCCAAATGTGTCATCACGTGCAGGTCACCAGACTACACATCCAGGCAACAGTGCAGCAAACAAGGCAAAATGTGACATTGGATAACAGAATGGTCTGCTCCAAGGTTGCTACAGTGTTCCGTACAGATGGACTATGCCAAGGAGCTTCAAGACTTTGCAAATACAGATGTGTATTGCCCCCGCATTTTCTTTTTCAACCATTCACAACATTTGTAATAACAGTTATGATTTAAGAATTATTCGAGAGAGCTGTGGTAGCAATCAACGTAAGGATAACATGTACTGTCAGGGCACAAACTAGCCATGGCGACTCTTGATTCGGGCTTACATTGCACCTCTTGCAGAGGGTAATGCAATGTAAGCCCGAATCAAGAGTCGCCACGGCTAGGCACAAACAATAATACCTCCTCCTTGCTACTTTAGTTAGTATAGTACAACTGTGGCAATCCTGATACTGGGAGGTAAAATCATTACGTTTTCCAAGCTGCCCGTTAAATAGTTTCTAACACAAACTGCCCTCCCGACATCTGCTTGCAAACTGTTTGCTTTGTACAACTTTACAGCATCACGCCCACAAAGGTTGACCCAAGGTGGTTCTATTCACCCCCTTGGCTGACCACACATGTCAGTGACCCGGTAACGGTACGAGTAATCAAAGACTCCCGCCCACCTGGTCGTGCACGATGGCCCGTATCAGCGGCGTGAAGCCGTCCCTGTCCCGGCAGAGCAGGTTGACCTTGGCCCCGGCCGCCACCAGCTCCCTGACGATCTCCTCGTGCCCCAGCTCGGCGGCGGTGCACAGGAAGGAGTCTTCCCACTCCAGCGAGGCGAGATCGCCCTCCCCATGCCGCGTCACCTTCCTGTGCAGGTCCACTTCAGGTTGTGTGCACAGTCCTCTCACCTTCCCCGCGTCACCTTGCAGAATCGCCGCCAGCAGGGCCTGTTCGTTTTCCGTTACACCCTGAGGCGTCGTTTCTACCAGATCTAACCACGACATTTTTAACGAACAGACACTGTTTCACGGCCAAGTTCATCCAAATTTCTGCACGTCTGATTCAGATGCCGATCTTCCACAGCAGTGGCGGAAAATTCCACACTGTGAATGACGCAATATCCCACTGTTGGGCTATGAAAGAGATTTTGACGTCACGATGTGCACATTTTTATAGGGCAGCTCACAGTAGCACTGCAAGCCAATTAAATCATCTTTTAGGATATTTACGATACATATAAGATAGCTATCTCATAATCAGAAGTTTGCACATTTGAAATTTACAGATGACTACATGATTTGGCTGTGTTAGAATACAACCAGTATCTCAGAAACCTCTATTAAGAGCCTCCGTTTCGATAACCTTTGACTCAGCATAATGTTTCCACGGCAATTGTTATTCACGTACATGGTTTCCATGGGGGACTGGGTTATTCCACTGACCATTTGTTCAAGGGGATCTATTTCTTGTGTGAGGGTGTGCGTGAAGTGACGCTCGATGATAACGCCGTTTATCACTACTGTGGGCATCCATTGGCTACTAGTATGTCGAAACTGCAATGTTCGTTGCTTTTGTATTGAATAGAAGTTTTGGAATGAGAGAAAACTTTTTAAAGTCTCCTTGTCAAACTTTCAAAGTTTCTTTAATTATTTCCCACATATTCATGGGGCTGGGACATTAAAATCCCACATTTTCTTTCCGTCTCTCACTAACAAACACGAACCCAATTGCAAGATCTATAATTCTTTTATTCCGAGAAACTGCTTCCGAATTCCCAAAACAACTTGTCATTCAATATCAATACAAATATAAGTGAAGGTACAATTTACTTGTGATATACATGTTACCACTGACGGGTTAATGCAACATTAAATTTGAGAATGACGCTGTTGTGTCAATCTAGTCACATGAGAAATCTAGTTACGTATCATATCAACATTACAATGAAGTTCAAGTGACGATATGATGATCACGATGATGATAATTACTGAAGATCTCGGAGTGTGCTGAGCGTCACCAGGAGAATCATCAGCTATAAGATAGAGAGAAAAAATAATATTCTTTCATCATACAATATTATGAGTGATTATGATTTAATAGATACGACAGTATCTAACTCACACTAACGTGTGACTATGTTCTTGATTTTTGTTGTTTGTTCTTTTACTCCAAGATGAGGGCATATTCAAAGCTCCTCGCGAAATAAAACAAGTGAAAACCTGTGCATACGAACCTCAATAAGACTGACCACAGTTGCCGCTATCCCCAGCTCTTTAGCGTGATCGAAAAACACGTTTTGAACATCGTCTTGGCACCCCTAAAGAGAAAAAGAAGAAAATTGCTGAAATAGGAACATATTACTAGTTTTCATATCATATGATATGAATTCCCACCAAACCTCTCGCTTGGCAAAATAAAGTTTCGCACACACAAGCGGGAAACACTTAGAAAATTGATAACTGAGAAGGTTTGAGGACGAAATGTATCAACCTTGTCATTCAGGAACTGGTTCGGCACGTCAAACTGACATTGGCGTGCTTGTCCCGTGACGTCATCCACAAGGCAGCAGCTCTGCGGCACCTGCGCACTGGGGCTGACGTCTGTCTGGTTCGCGTACCACATGCTCCTCCTCCAGGCAAGGTAACCAGACGTGTTGTTACCTACCCCACAGCACTGCAGCTGAATGGGTGGGAGGTCAAAGATATCTGTAATATTCTCTATGGTCTCAGTGACAGTGAATAAAAATACAGTTTCATCAATCATTGAACTAATTGAAGCATGTTCGGGTAACTACGGAGCGCACCAGGGCAGGACTGTTAGATGTTTATATGCCATTTTCCGGGTCCCGTTCAATAATATTGATAGCACATGTACAGTGATCCCAGTCTCACCTTCTCCTGTGTTCTGTCCCAAGCATCTGTCACGCCCTCTTCTCCTGGCTGTCCGTATTGCAGCTCCAGAGACGTTCTAAGTCTGTCGTCAAGTGTGCCATCCACCTGCTCCAAAAGAGTCAAGTGGTAGTACTAGTAAGGATAAAAACACATTTTTTACAGTTGAAAATTGGGCAGGAATTTGCATAGATCGAGTTGCAAAAGAAAGCTCTTACCTCGTTCTTTGATATGAACAGTACAATTCCTGAAGCCAGTCCCAAGAAGGCGATGATAACAAGAAGACCTAGGAACTATGGAGAGGGAAGGAAGCGTTTAATTAATTGTGGTTAGCATTGATGTACATTTAATACTACACCGTGACAAATCAAAAGCTTTTGCAGGTGCAGTTGAGCTGATTACAATCTATCAGGCGCAAGTAACCAAGGCCCTGCTCTGTCTCAGGTCTTTTCTACTGTCCTCACCGGTTTCTTGCAGCCGCTCCTTGCACAGATGACACATACGCAGACGTCCGCCATGCAGGTAGCCAGGGCGCTTCCTCCAGCCGCTATCATAACGGACACACCGAGGCTGTATAGCGGACTGCCGAGCAGGGGCGCGAAGAAGAACTTGTTCTGGAGAGTCCAGATTCCATAGCCGACAAGAACACACGAGCCGATCTAGTGACAAGGCAAGGCGAAGACAATAGCACTTTTTAAGTTTTTAGCCCGTCGGCAGACTAGTATCGCAGAATACCAGGTGATAAGCATTGGAAAGGAATGAAATATATCTTTACGTAAAAAGCCAGTTTAATAGAAAACTATAAATGCCGACAAATGACCACCCCATCACCCCTATACGTGTAGCCCTGGCCAGCTCCCCCAATGCTCCCCTGTGGGGCAGGGATTAGCGCTAATCACTGCCCGTCCCATCATTAATCTACCGTGAAATCTGTCAGTACGAGGGGTGCCTAATTCTCCTTCATTCCGAAAACCATAACTGTGGACAAGAAATAATTCAAAAGGAGTAAAAATATCGACAATCGTACACATTTCTTCATACCCTCGTCGAAATCAGTTTCGCGCACAGCTTCAGCTTCCGACAGCTTCCCTCGGTTTATCAGGATTTCGAAAAGAAATGGGTAATATAGAAAGGTCGCACTGCCTTTTCTGTATCGGAGATATCATGAAAATTGTAATATTCTTGAATAAAAAGAAGAAGTAGGTGTTTTGAATTGTTTTACTTCTTTTGACCCCGCACCAGGAATTGTGTTAGACAGGCCTGTTGTCCGCTCATGCAGGAAGACGTAATTGGTTCCGCGTGACAACCATGTGAGACTGCGCTCATACAACACACGGCCAAACAACTTCATAAACCAGAATGGTAGGCCTCTAAAATCTAGGATTTTTTGTAAACTTTGTTGGAGAATAACTACCGGCTCACAAGTAGCAGCGAGTGCTTTGCCGGACGGTGACAAAAATTATGTTTCACAGCTACATGAGTAGGTTTTCAAGCTCCTCACCAGTATCAGGAAGAGGCCTCCCACCACAGACCGGTTCTTCTTGTGCTCGTCCTGCACGGATATGTCGGTGTATCCGTCAAAATAAGAAGAACGTAGCATTCTGACCCCTTTTGTATGAAATAGAAGGCTTGCTGGTGGCTTTACAACGGATTCTGGCTAGTTCAGTAAGGTTTCGGTGCTGCTAGCAAACCCAATGAGCAGTTCTTGTATACGCATCAAGGTTATGCACAGCAGCGTCCTCTGACGTATTCGATAGGTACGACAACTAAAGACCACTCATGTCATGGGTCATGAATGGCTAAAAAAAGGATTTTTAACTAGTTATCGCCTGGAAAGGGCAATGTCTGGAATCGTGGAGGTTTCTTAGTACGTACTTCACTTGACAACTTTTTGGCTTTGTGAAATTGAGATAACCCCCCACCCCCACCCCAAAGGGCGACTGAAAGGTTTACGCGTACGGCGAACAAAGTGAAAGAAAACACTATCGAAAACTTTGGAAAAGTAAAAAAAAAAATTTAGAAAATGAATAGTCAGATCTTTCTTTGTAGCCGCCAATACAGTTAGAATGATGTTTACGAGAGCCATATAGTCAATGCAATTGTATGTCCTTTTATTCATCGGGAGGCAATAACGAAGCATGTGCTATGGGAGCAATACGCTTTTCTATTGTCTTCTCCGTCATTACAACGTGTCACAGCTGATTCGAAGTCATTAAAACGTTACAGATAGTATATACATGATAGAGTGACATATATACATTTTTTGTACTAAACCGTGACATAATCCTATCATGACTGTGAATTCGAATTCTGAGTTACTACCAGGATAATGCCAAAGATAGACTAAGCTCCTAAGCTCCTAAGCTAACATTTGACATTTAACACTTGATAATATCTATCATAACAACATTTCAGCCAGCCAACGGTGACTGACGATGTCCTAACTTTCAGCTTTTTAGCTTTCAGTCTACTTCCAAAGATCACTACCCCACCAGCTAGTCAGCTACAGTAGAAGTCCTTATGTCATTTACAGACTGGTGAACAGCAGATGTATCTCCTGTGTTCACACCGATGACTTTTTGCACTGTCAACGGATTTCCTTCCGACAAAAGGTGAACAAGTTCAAGTAGTTTAAAGCTATCTGGCAGATGATCGACTCGGTTGCCTGTAAAACTGAGAATCTTCAAGCTTTTCAACTGAGAAATGTTGTCCGGAAGGCGCGTTATTTTATTACCGTTTATGGCAAACGTGTGGAGATGTCTGAGGTTGAGGAGGCCGTCGGAAAGGTCCTCGATTGCATTATAGCATAACATCAGACAACGGAGCTCTGCTAAGTTCCACAGTGTCTCGGGAAGGGTGATGAGGCGGTTTCCTCTCAAAAGTAAGACTTTCATGTTCTTGAATTTGTCGACATCGCCTGGGATTTCATCTATGTTGTTATTGTCCAACAGGAGGGCCACGAGCTTGGTCAACTGGAGCAGTACTCTGGGGAATTTTTTCAACTTATTGTTCCTGAGATTCAGAAGACGGAGCTTTGTGAGATGTTTCAGTTCTTCTGGCAATTCCTGCAAGTTGTTGTTAGCGATGTAGAGTTCTTCCAAGTTTACCAGTCTCCCCACCTGTTTTGGGAGGCGTTCTATGACATTCTTGTCAAGGTCCAGAACCTTCAGACTTGCCAGGCGGTCGATTTTAGCGGGCAGATCACGAATGATGTTGTTGTCCAAGCAGAGTATCTCCAAATCACGGACGGAAAGGACAAAGTTGGGGAAAAACCTGAACTTGTCCTTGGGGTCTTCCCTTGGGTCCATGGACAGTAGTAACGCTTTTAACCCCTTACAGTCCGGTGGATAGAAAAGTACCGTCACCAAACGCTGCCCGATCATATCGGCGTGTGTGATAGGTGTAATTTGCGAGACCCATTTGACGTACGATATTTGTGAGGAAACATTCCGCTTTTCCTTACTCCTGTTTGACTGTTTATGATGAAGACAGTGCGATCTCGTTGATTGCAGAGACGATATGGTGACGGCAAATTTGACTGATGGTTCACAGGTCATGTGGTCGTCATCCTCAGTAACGTCCCCACTTTCGTTAACTAATTTTGGTCCGTCTTTCTCCGACTGTTCAGGCGGCGTGATCCTGATGATTTCTTCCGTGGTGGACTCCTGGCGAGCGTAAAACGTGCCGTGTGGGAAGGTGTACTCCACGTCATCTATCCGTGTGGCTCTGATCTCCTCGTCAACGTCTATGTTGGTTCTCGCCCAGCAGGAGTCCCTCGGGAAGACTACCGGCGGCACATCCACGGGCCGCGCTGCGCCGCTACACAGACTGGTTATCAAGGGTTTGTGTTCCAACTGCATTATCTGTAAATGAAAGAAAAGTATTGTCACACATGTATCTGATCTGTATAACCGATATAGCCACCCTTCGGCTTATTACACCAGCTTCAGACATGTATTTCTGAGATGCACGAAGCGGTAGATCACAGTATACAAACTGCCAAATAACATCAATTAAACTCTAATCTCTGTCTGAATGTTTTGGTAAAACCCAGTTATTCAATTCAGTAATAACATTAATTGATTGAAACCCTTCTTAATAGTTCCAGAATTGGGAGAAAATAAGTTTGAGCAATGATGTTATATGCTGACTTGCTTTGACTTGTGACAAAAAGTGTCAGACAAAAGTGGCGACATGTTGGAAGATAATCACTAGTGCTCAAAGCAATAGTGTTTTCATTATGAAATATTCAGTACCACAGAACCACCCCACGTTATTCATAAACGTTACTTACAACTCTATCTGCCCATTTTATGGGAAGTGATCTAACAGCAAAGCCCTTTAACCGTCGATATGTGAGGGCGGCTAAAACCAGTTCGGGGCCGCAGGTGCGGGGAGCCGAGTCATCGATAACAGCTAATCTAACGGTAACGTAGAACCGCCTCCTTTCTAATGCCTGCGTGCCCCACATACATGTAGAACATGTACTTATCTGCATAGTACCAGTTGGTTGACATTGTCTAGGGTTGTTTCAACCGACAAACCAAAACCTAAAATGCATTTTGAACGGAAAGTTGGAAAGGGTAAATTTTTATCATTTTAACTCTACATCCTAGTCACGTTTTCGACATTGAGTCGTCACACTGCGTCCACAATACAACCAAACAAAAAACACCTTGGCGATTGCAAAACTGAGCAACTACCAACAACATATAGGTAAGTTATAACGATAAGTGTACGTGTGCAATGAAAGCACCAATAAACCATAAAACAATCCCACCATTATAGTGGAGTTTCAAAGTTTTTTTCTACGTGGCGTCAGAATACAAAACCGACAACGAACTTCCCCTACCTTCTCTGTAGACCAGATATTCTGATCTTCTTATACACGGATGGCTTCAGTCTTCCTTTTATTTGTAGTTCCAGATGACTTCCAGAGTGCCTGCTACATTGTGCTGTGAATCGTACAAAATCAAGAGAAGTCCCTGTGTTCCTTCTTCTTCGTCCTCCACCACCAGTATATGAGTGACACCCTCCTCCGACGCAAGTTCATTCAAGCTGATAATTACGTCACCCGTTGCCAGGTAACGGTGATGGAAAATTACATAGCGTAATGGAAAAATCCATGCATGAGCATGAATGAGCGGGAACTCTGTGAACTTGACTATTCAAGCCTCTAATGCTATTAATGACACTAGCAGGATGCGTTCAAGGACAAACCGTTCTACAATCGTTAAACGCGCCCGGATATATACTAAAACATGTATTTAATCATCTGAACAAGGCAGCGTTTTGTGCACATGGTATGGAGGAAGTTTAAATTTCCTTGGTCGTTTCGTACAGGCAATACGTCACCTCTAACGTTGCTGCGACGACCAAATTTTTGTCTCATTTAGAAAAACAACATGAGTGATAAAAAGAAATGGTTGAAATGTGAAATCTGCATGAGTTTTGTACAAGGTCATTTGAAGTTCGCAAATTGAATTGGAAAATGGACAATATTTGGGTTGTTGAAAATACCGGCCAGTCAATGCCCAAGTTACCGCGCACCTCTTACGTACCGCGCTGCATTTGATAAACTAAAGTAGTATACTTTACGGAGATTGTATCACAGACAGTAGGCGTAAATACGCTGGCTCGTAACGATCCTGACTTCCCGTGTCCGGAGGTTAATTAACCATCCCGCTGAATGTCTTCTTCTGTAGAAAGACTTGGATGTGTGGATATCTATTGCGTCATTTTGGACAGCCAAGTTTCACAATCGATCGTTATTTCAAGTTTGGAACGTACCAAAATACCCCACTGTCCCGGAGTAGCAGGTATTTATGGCGGTTCGCTCAGAAATTGATTACTGCTTACTCGAGCGGATATGAAGCATAATCCCCACTGACGTCATAACGGTTATCTCGTGCTCAGCAGCTTGGAAAATATCTAAAGCACTGCGCAGATTCAATTATAGATAATAGTTAGAGATAAATTGAACCAATGACGATGTCGAGTTAAAACTGTGACTACTTTGCGAAAAGTGCTCCAGGAGATTTCTGTAAAATCGAAGGTTTGTGTCTCTACTACATCGCCGTTGATGTGCATCAGTACTGATTTTGCAGTTTGCTTTTATAGTGGAGAGCAGCAACGCCTCACGTGGTAATACAGAGCGATCGATTGCAAATACAAGACAAGGTCTTGTAGAAAATATTTATTTTCAACACACAAGAAATACAGAGGAAAACAGCATTATATACAGAACCGATTTCAATGGCAAAGATTCACTGCTTCGTAATTTTTAGCCGGGTTTTCCCCCGCTAATTATTTAGCGGTTTCAACCGGTTTTTAGAAGTCTGGTATGAACGGGATCTAACAATGCATTTTTAACTGACCGGTAAATGATTTTTTTCCTGCAGTTCAGTTTATAACGTTTCCGTAATTCGAGTCATACTGGCTTTGTTTCAAACCTGAGTAGCCATATGACTGGTGTAGACATATAATAAAAGAACCCTGTTCCCAATGGTCAGATAAGCAATGGATTAAATGAGAACGACTAGATACATCTGAACGAAACAATTTTTCATCTGAAGTATACGTACAAAATATAACATCTATCAATCTATCTATCAATAGCATTACCGAATACCGATTGATGCTTGACTACTGTTCAACAAATTTCCGTCAAAAAGTGAGCAAATTTTATAACGGTACTATATACTAGCAGCCATGCACAAGCTATTGTGTGTTATTTTCTTCATTGTTTAAAACAATGATCATACAAGTTATGTACAGTATACAAAAAAAGGAAGAGGAACAAAAATTCACCAGAAAAGATTACTAGTATTTACACCACTCTGAATGTTCAGATGATTATGTATGAGAAGGGCCCGGATAATTACATACTTTGAATGTTCAGATAATTATAAACGAGGAACGTTAACACAGTGAAGTCATAGTTTTCTGAAGTGCCCGTAAATTCATTGTTTCACCATCTTATAAAGTAAATTTACATTGTTACAGCATAGTGTGACAATTAAAAGAACATTTCAGGACAGAAGTCTTTCTTACGCCTAGCCAAAATGATAGGTCTAAACGGTGCTAATATTTTGATAATGACATGCTGGATATTCAACCCCGTCATAACAATGAAGCAATAAATACAGGACTACATTTTCGTGTTTTTCTTGTACCCACAATGCCCAAATAATACCAATTTGTAACTTGAAAGGACAAAACACCCAGGATCACATATAAGCGATCTTTTCTTTATCCGTGTTTAGTTCGAAATATCATCTTACCCTACGCCTACCCTTGAATAAACGTTGGACAACGTGTTCCAAAATGAAAATGAAAGTAAAAGGTGTTCTCTTTACGTCCTAGTGTAGGTGAATCCACGCCACAAAACAGACCCGTGACAAGACCTACTTTCACTTTTACAATTTTCTCTGGGCCTTCAGAGCCTGGAACAATCTTTCCTGGAAGTCCAGATAGAGTACTTCCCCCTTTCCGGGAACTCTGTAGACGAAGCCCTTCTTGTCCATCAGGCAAAGTCCCTTTCCGTTCATGATGAACTTTCCGGCATCCAACTCCCCTACTGTGTAGTGCGCCTGCGCCCACACCAACCATGTCCGAACGTCGTCGCGAGACCAACTGCGTGGGTCTGTAGAAATAAAGTCTGATTAATAACATTCAAACATGATAGCGAATAAACTTTGTCATGAAGGCAAATTAATACAGCCACCACAAATATAAATGTGAAAATGAATGGCACAGCGACATTGCTGATAACGGTTACAACAGAAGGAAGATCTCCGTACCGTTTGGTACTTTGCACTGGGCCTCACTGCTCACGACGTCATCACTTTGAGACCACTTAGGCTCTTTCTTGATCCTCATCCTGGTCCTTCTCTTTGTTTTTGGCTCCGTCTCGTCCTCAGAGGAAGACGTGTTTGGCTCCGAACTCACGGTTCCGATGCTGGAGAAGCGACGCCTACAGCTGAAGCAGACAGAAATGACAACTTTTATCATGTTGATATTGCCAACGTTGTGATCAGAATGAAGCTTGCATATGCACTTAAGGGACAGGACAGACTTGGAGCTGATATGCCCGCCAGACATGATATCAGAGACAAATCACAGAGGCATGAAAATTACATTCACACCCTTGAGCACGTGCGGTATGTGTCAGGACTGATCATGAAGGAAGATTGTACCGAAATCGATAACGATGTCGACTAGCCGACTATATACGTGTATGTTTACTGATGATAGTTAAAGATTGATACTGAGACATTTACTGGCCGTGGTCGTCATTATGCAAACAGACCTTCCTATCGCTACATTACCGGTCACAGGCTAATGTCTACCTCTTAAACTTTGTCCCGGACGAAGTCCCATGTGCTACGTAGTACTAGTAGGTATGACTGGTGCATGGCAGAAGTGAACTCTGAACATGTTTGCCGCTTAGTGGTTGAAACCCTGCCTAACAACCAAGGTAGCATAGCACTAAGAGCGCCATGAATCATCATACCAGGCTAATAACCTCCAACACCCTCATCTGAAGCATAGCTATAGCTTGTGTCTGGCGGTCAGTTTTGTCAGGAGGCCACCTCCTTCTGAAAATATTCGATTTTTGAACTGAGTACACTTTTGGTTAAACATTAATAAGAGGTTGGGCGTGGGGAATTGCGTGGGTTGAAAAACGCACATTATTTTGCGATCGATGAGTAGATCAATATCGACAGAGTCATAGCCGAAGAAAAGATGGAACCTTACCTCATATCATTAGCGGGTACCTTTTGAGTTTAACTAAAAAGCACAAGTATATATATAATCTATAGCTGATTCTGTTTTGAAACAGAAATTCCCGTACGAAACTTATAATGAAAACTGAGACACGACATCGAAACCGTCAAAGTTCTAGAAAGTTCCTTGGGTGACGACAAAAGTCCCCCTATATTCTACTAGATACTAACGCCTACAGTGCCTACTGAAACAAACTAGTGTTAAACACCAGTGTTAAAACCTGACGTCATATTTCTATGGTATAAGGATGGTACGTAACTTTGTATGGGGCGTAACTTTACCATACACGGTATTGGGAGGTTGTTTTTGACACATGTACAGATTTCCTTACCATGCCATGACAACGTACTGTGCATGCCATGGCCCGATGCCAACTGTGACAAAATAGACTGTTTCCCATGTATGCTATGCAACGTCCGACTAGAATGCTAGTGCAGGTGTACCAAACAACAACAACTACCCACACAAAAACGTGTACGTGTGACCCTCGAGACTCTCCCTGCTCTACCAGCTCGCCGTGCCTTGCCCCGGGCTGCACCGTGCGTCACCGGGCCGCGACTCGCTTCCGCTGACATGGCGGTCAGGCGGGGGGATTTTGTCTCTCCCGTCAAAACCCCGAGGCAATCAACAGGGCCATGGGATTACGGGTAGCTTTTGTAAATAAATGTATCTGTGGTAGACAAATGAAGCGTAAACAGGGCTTGTAGCCAACTCACTTATCTCAAACCCGTACAGCTGGTGCCTAAAAGGACCATGACTGTCAACATATATGAGATGACATTGTTATGTCCATATTTGGCTGTCTTGAAGTATAGGTAAACGAATAGATATTTTGCAAGCCATTGGTGGTACACGTGGTGACGAATATTGTGTCATAGTATGAGGAGTCATAAAGTTGCCAGGTCTCGTACAGCTTGGCATCGTCCCAGTGAAGGTCCCGATGACCACTTCCCCATCTATTCAAGACGTACGTGTACGGTAACTTTCGATCAAGTCATGATTTTCGTCCTAGAACTGCACGAAACCTTGACAATGTCATCATTACAGTTGCAACATGTCGACAGGTACTAGTGTGCAACTTGTCTATCGTTTGTGGGCTGCTTGTGGTTGCTGGTTAAGCTAGTACATAGATTATACTTGATATCGATGCTGAAGGACCCTTCAAAAGGCTAGATCCGTTTCATACGGATTGAAATGTAGTACGTTTTCATCATCAGGCCATGTTGCTGTGTATTTCACTATGCGTGAGACTAGGAGATGGAAAACAATGCACCGTAGGAAACCTGAGAAAATGAGTCGTGACTAAAAAGTTGACCAACTTGACCTGAAAACAAAATTGAACCCCTCTCCTCATCGATTTACCCTACTTTGCGTTTAACTAAAACAATAAGATGACCTGGTGCCGGCCGATCTTCCCTTCATACTCTCTTTTACCAGCTGCATGTAACAAATAATCACACATGTGAACATGTTTTCCTGCACTCAGTACATTCGAGTAATCAAGAGTCGTAAAACTATTACAGAAGCCATACGGCTTAGATGGCTCTTTACATGAAGTTCCGTATTCCCTAGAGCTGCCCACTAGGCAGAAACATCAACAGGTTGAAACACCAATTATGCTGTCATGTTTCAACGTTTACTTCCATAGACAGAGATGAACTGGCCCTGCCCTGCTTCAGGTTTTCGGAAAAGCCTTTAGCAAACTTTATCATGACTCATCTAATGCATGACGGGGGTAGACTATTTCTGGTCACTGGATCATTCCTCTTTCATTTTCTGCGTGAAGTGACGTCACGTGTCTCCCAACATCATAAATAACTAACCTTACTTGTATACCACATTCTTTCGTTACGAACAATCTGTTGTTGAGGAATGACATGTACTTGAAGGTACACGTACAAGAGTAGGGTTGTCTAGAGGTGAAATCGGTGAGATTTTGTTTTGTGGCTGCTAATCTCTCAGGTGTGCATGGTGGGACGGTGCGTTGAACGCCATGCGAGTCAACAGTCAACCATTAACCCAGCTGCTGCAAACATCGCGTATGCAAGCAACCATGACCTTGTCTGGGTGCCATTCTGGTAACTCACATACTTCATGTTCGCTAGCTTGAAATCCTCACGAGGGTGGATCCCTGGCTATTTCTGGTCGCATGTAGAAACCTCCCTTGCCCTCCCTAAATTATGTCAGCTAATAGATAGTTAAGTACTTTGTTTTCCTCGTCGTGTATAAAGTGTGCAGTTCTCACCTGCGTGCTGTTGTTCTTTTCACCCGCCCCTCCCCGTCATGGCCCCGGCCGTGCAGCTGACCTCGCTCCGTGGACACAACTTTGGTCGGATCGCCCTTCATCGTGCCCGACTTTTACTCTGGAAATGTCGTACGGCTTTATATTGTCCAGGCCCTCGAGTTAATCCGTGAAAGCCGGGAATTGCCTAGTTCTTAAGATAGACGGGCATAACACATAACCCTCGGAACCCGGGACAAGTGACTCAAGTTCGCTCACTTGTTGCTAACACGTTTATTGATTGACGTCTGGAACAGTCCACTGAGACTTGGAGGGGCACATTTGTTGGTCTAGTTTTCATAAAGTCAGCATTAAAAATGTTATAAAATTGCACTCAACGTTAACACTTCATACAAGATCATATCATGCCCATTTTAACTCATTAGAATCACTGAAAATTACCGCAAGTTGCCGCGCCCGTGTGCTTCACCTGGCAAGCCATGTCGCTGTTATGAGGGGGCGGGTCTTTCGCGGGAAATACCCGGAGTGACTACTTCTGCTTCCGCGAATCGAACAACAAAAGATGTTTGCTGCTCAGAAATATTGTCAATGGTTCATGTGGTGTAAGAACTTCCCCTTTTTCTAAACAATAAACTAGTACACGGCGGGCCTTGCACAGGCATACTAGAGTAAGTAAATATACAGAGGCCACTTTATGATAGTTTTTTTTTCAAAACTTTAGACAGGACGGTCAACCTATTTTAGTATCAGTCGTGACTCAACGTTTTTCCGAGCCTCACAGATCAGGTTGATGAAACGCAATGCGTCCGGCAGGTTGGCGTAAACAGCACCTGCGAAACTTCCGCTTTTCCGGGTATATCGTTTCACACCCAGTGGGTCCATGTAGTGATTGGTTAAAGCAAAGCGATAGATTTTGTATACACACGTATAAAGAAGTGGGTGTGGGTGTGCATATATGGCCGGGTCCGCCCGGATACCCTATGGAATCTTACTAATTCCTAGTGCCACTTTTAACTCTCATGCAATCTAGACTAGATATAAAATGTACAAGTAACGTTAACGTTACATGTACTTGAATCCACGGTCGAGAATCTTATCTTTCAAATTCAAGTAGCTTAGTGTTATGTCCTGATCAGTTTCAACAACATACGCATCAACAAAATTCACTGATAGAGATAAACAGCTATTTGCAATGCTGTACTACAGTAGGGCATTTCAAAATCTTCATCATTCCAGGCCTGTTCTACTCTCCAAGCAGAGGTTTGGGTTTTGGGGGTATTTTTAGCGTGTTTTTAGGCTTTTTTTATCGGGGTTTCTCTTTTGCATTGAATTTTTTTTCCCACCAAACCCAATTTGGTGGGGAAAAAATTCAGTGCAAAAGAGAAACCCCGATAAAAAAAGCCTAAAAACACGCTAAAAATACCCCCAAAACCCAAACCTCTGCTTGGAGAGTAGGCCTGTTCATCATTACTACTGTACAGTAAGCTTGGGGCGAGTACATTAAATAGGATAGAGGATGAGGAACACTTTGTATTAGAATGTAGTTTATACAACGAAGAGAGAGCAGAGCTTTATAAACTATTGCAATGTATGTTTCCCCATTTCATACATCTTAGCAACGCCGATAAGTTCATATTTCTGATGATTTTAGACAAACCTTCGATTATAAAACATATCTGTACTTATATCTACATCATTACTAAGAAGCGAGAAGAACTATATGTCCATAGTACATAGAATTAGCACTAGCTTGTACATTGTATATATTCATTGCAAACTGTGACGTCTTTCCTGTGACCTGTACTGAACCCAGTGGGTATTTGCGTACAATAAAGGTCTTCATTCAATTCAATTAAAATATGGGGGTGGCATTCTTGGCACACGTGATATTTCTCGACTTAAACACTTTAAAATAAGTAGTTTAGTCAATTATTAACTTCCATTGAGTCCTAAAAATGTTTTTAACGTAAATTCTTGGTACGATGCGTTTTCAAATTCAATATCTTTCGGTACCCCATAATTCCTACTTGTCTTGTGGTCCAGTATGCACCGATGACGTCACACAAGATGGCGGTAAGTTTGACCAAGGATATTCAGAGTAACAAACGTTACTAGTCTTTAATAGTATCCCAAAACAAGTTGTTTTTAGAGTTAAGAAGACTCAAGTAGCCCAGTTTACGTATCAAGGAGCCGGAATGATGTTGGAGATTATGATTAGGGTGGGGTTATCTTCTACCAGTTTGCAATGTTCTCTGCTTTTGCCCAAGTTTTCGCCAAGACAAAGGTCCCTCCACAAAAGATGGTGCTAACTGCTAAATGTATGGATAATTTGACTCTTTTCAGTTTTGGATTCAACGACTTTTTCTAAATTTTATATCGTATTTCCAGTAATCACTAACGGGGGGGGGGGCACATTCTAGTAGGGTCCATATTCCGGTAAGGTTTTAACAATCATTGTTGCAAAGACAACAGTTAACGTTATGTTCTTATTTAGCCGTGGACGACTCTGGTACACCTTTTTGCATGATAATGCCGGTGACAGAGTCGTGGAAAGCACCATAGGCCAAAACCAACCTTTGCCGTGCCGGGCCTCATGCAACGGGCCGGCCCCGGTTTTTTGGTGTCGCTGGCTTCCTAACGCACTCCCCTGCCGGGCCGGGGGGATAAGACCCTAAACAAACGCAGCATTTAACCACAACACGGCCTCGGAGCACGTAACTCCTTACACTCATCGGCGATTGACGCCATATTGAATTCAGGAATCGGTCCGCAAAACAGACCGGACCCTGAGTTTACGACAGTTATTTTCAACTCTCCAACGTTCAAGCTGCAAGTATGTGAC